GATTTATGAGTATTCTATAGTTTTCTTTTTACTTTTCTGTATTTCAATTTTTCTACCATAAACATGTAATTCTTTAAAATACGTAGGGATAATAGCTGATTATCATAAACTGATTACCAGTTTGGTTCTGAAATAATACAATTAAGTTGAAAGTGATGGCAAGATTTATCTTTACTTAGAAAAAATTTACATTTACATAATATTTGATGGTTTATTAAATACTTTTCATCTTTAGTCTGGTTATCCAATTAAAAAATTATACATATGTAGTATCAAGAAATTAGCAAGAGATTTCTTTTTTAAGCAATGGAATTCTACTTACTACCATTAAGTGTAGTGGCATAAAAATTAAATGGACACTTGAGTTTTATATATAACAAATATATATATATATTTTTTTAAGATTTTATTTTTCCTTTTTCTCCCCAAAGCCCCCTGGCACATAGTTGTATATTTTTAGTTGTGGGTCCTTCTAGTTGTGATATGTGAGGTGCCACCTCAGCATGGCTTGATGAGCAGTGCCATGTCAGCGCCCAGGATCAGAACCATGGAAACCCTGGGCCACCAAAGTGGACGGCGAGAACTTAACCACTCGGCCACGGGGCCAGCTCCGAGTTTTACATATTTTTATGTACCCCAATTCTTTATCATCATCATACTACCATTTATTAAATGAACACATCTCAAGAACTTATACAAACACTTAGAAGTATTTAACCTGAGGCACTGGGAGGTGGCTGGGTGACTAAAGTCACAAACTATGTGTGGTCAAACCCAACACCCTCTGGAGTTTGTGCTTTTAATCATCCAGCACCCTCAACCAGAGAATAGAAGTTGTTATTTATGGGGCCCTATGCTGGACTCTGAAAGAAGGGAGTGGAGGTCATATTTTATTACTATGAAAATTGAAATTGGGGGCCGGCCTCGTGGTGTAGTGGTTAAGTTTGCACGTTCTGCTTCAGCAGCCCAGGGTTCACAGGTTCAGATCCCGGGCACAGACCTAGCACCGCTCATCCAGCCATGCTGTGGCAGCATCCCACATACAAAGTAGGGGAAGACTGGCACAGATGTTAGCTCAGGGACCATCTTCCTCACAAAAAAGAAAGAAAGAAATTGGAAAACGTACCAATTTTCTATTTTCTATATTTTTTGGAAATCAGTATTTGTAGCATTATGTTGGGCTTCTCATAGCTTATAAAATGGTATTTTGATACAGCAATAGCATAGTAATTTACCACAACACTGCTACTCACATTTACATTTTGAGTCTCTAAGCAAACATCTTACTGGGAGCCTTCTTTCCAGCTTATCACCTTGAGCGTTCTATGCTCCATTTCAGAGCCAACCAAACTTACAGAAATGACTGGGTGTATGGTACTTTCAACTCCTAATTTATAAAATCAGTGACTATTAAGTGATAAGATTAATTTTACAAGTAAGTGTTTATAAATGTGGCCTCACTGCCATGTAGTTCACTCCACTATCTCATGGAGTTCTCCAGGCACTATTCTAGGCACTGGGGATCCAAGGATGAACCCAAGTTTCCGCTCCTCTAAAACGTCTATTATAGGTGAAGGTCATCGTCAGTTTTTTATTAGCAGCCTAAGGTATAAAACTTGCTCTGTCACTTGAAAAACTTGCTATCCTCTTCAGGAGACGGTCTTAGGAGATGCCAAGTGAGAAGCAAGCACAATATCAGTGGTTCTCCAACTTTACTGTGCAGGAGAAACTCCTGGAGAACTTGATGGAGATCCTGATTCCAGGGCCCTACCTCCAGGAGGCTGATTCTGAGGTGAGGCGACAAAAACCTCTACTTTTAACAAGAACCTCAGTTAATGCTGATGTAAGTGACCTGAGGTCCAGATTTTGAGAAACCCACCTGTAACTGGAGCCATTCAGAAAGGAATGGTCTTTCAGCTCTACGGCAGGGCAATCTGAACTGAGTAATATAAACCTCACGTAATTAATTCTCTATAATTCACAAATCTAGCAAATGAAAAAGATGAGTCAGAGGAGAGGAATTTACCAGCACCTCCTCCTCCTTAACCTCTTATAGGAAATCTGAGTTTGCCTCATTCTAGGCATTTGGGGACAAGAACCTAAGCAGAATTCTACTACCAATATTAGAGATAAGCATTAATAAAAAGAAATTGCTAGTCAACAGCGGGGAAAAAAACTGCTGAGGACAAACATTTCACGGAACTGACTTGCTACCACTCATTTTATGCCCTATTTCACAATGCTTAGTATCTGAACAATCCACAGAGTTCCAAAGTACATCAAAAATTTGTTCATTTCCTCTCTTACTCAGGCAGAATAATAATGAGAGTTTTGTAAAGGTACCATGTGCCTAGTGATCCCAATAGATACATTCTTAGATAAAGAAATATCTTTTTTTGCTTTTAAACTTTCTATCAGAAACTCTCCTTACTGGAGCTACTTACAGGAGTTTTAAATAGTTTTAACGCCATCATTAAATTAGTGTCCCTCATTTCTCAATTTAGCTTACCTAAAAGTTTCTGGGTTCTTTACAAACCTCCTATGGAAAGAATTCACTGTTAAATAAACATACATATTTTTAGTTATAAGGAAACTCCCATCAAAATAACATAAATGTTTCAAGTAAACTATTAAAAAAATTAAAACAGAAACATAGTATTTTGTTCTCAGAGAGAGGTAGATTTCATAACTTTGAGGGGTGTTTAAGCTTCTGCACCTTAAGTCATCTAAAAATAAAGGTATCCTAACAAATACATTGCTCCTGTTTCAGAGGTTAGGGGTAGCACTAACAAACCAGCTGGCCTTGCTGGGTCCATGGCTCCAGATCCTGCCCTCAGACCCTGTCCACTACGTAATCCATGAGCTCTCTGAGCCTGTTCTTCATCCTTTCAAAGGGATTAGTAAAGCTGCCTCCCAGCTGACAGAACTGATATTTTCCAGATGCATCTGTTTGTATGGTAGTTGTTTTTATTATCTATACTTTTTATTGTACTTGTTTTGTTTTTATTATTTCTACGTCTTGACCACGGAAACAGCAAGAGTAGGATGCCAGCAGACAAGCACAAAGAAACGCATCTGTCCCGAGTCTGCATATATTTAAAATTTCAGGCTGGTGCTGCCTTCGGAATAGCATTGATGATGGCAAAGTTCTAAAGGAAACTTTCATATTAAGAGGGTATCAAAAATCTCCACAGCCTCCAACTCGACAGAGAAACTGCTAATCTATTTCTTCAAAAGCAAAGCTTAGTCTGAATCACAACAAAAGATGCCCATAGGCTACGTAATCCACGAACTTGTTTTCTAATCCGAAGGCAAACAAGTAGGAGAGAAAGGTACAACCCATTCCTCGTTGGTTTCCTTTTCCTGGGGATTCTGATTACATTTCCTCGTGCAAACAAGAAGAGACCGCAATTGTGCCTTCGGTCCACACCATCAAACCGTGTCTGCGCGTAAAGAAGGGAAGGAGCAGCGGCAGACCCCGGGGACGCGCTCCCACTGAAAGGAAAGCCGCTTTCTGTTAAATACCATCAGAGGCAGCCCGGGCAGGACGACTTAGGGCCAAATGGCATTGACTGCCCTTCACTGACAGGGATTTTGCAGGCACACGAGACACAAAAAGGGATGAGCCGGGACTCCAGGCCGGGGGGAGAGGCGGGCGGCGCGATGCCGCTCCCCGCGAGCTCCGGATCCCCGGGAGGCTGGCGGGGAGGCGAGGTTTGGCCGGTCCGCCGCGCTCAGGCGGCCGAGGGCAGCCAGGTCAGCCCTGGAAGGACCGACCGCCCCCACGTCCCCCTCGGGAGGGAGGGACCCCGCTCGGCCGGCCAGGCTGCGGACGCCCATTCAACCCGAAGCCCGTCCCGCGACCGCCACCCCCTCGGCCGCCGAGGCGCCCCGGCCTCCCGGCTCCGACCAGCCGGCCGCCCCCGGGAGGATGGGGAAGGACGAGGAGCAGGGGCGGCCGGTGCCGCGCCTCCCGGGCGCGCGGCAAAGGGTGAAGGGCGGCCCGAGAGATGCGCGCCGGGCCGCGGGACCGGCGCCCCGGGCGGCCATCGCGCCGACCCCTGCGCCGACCCCCGCCCCCGCCGCCTCCTGGGTCCAGGCCCGCGCCGTCCAGCCCGCTCCTCACCTCATCTCCAGGCGGATCCGCGCTGCCGCCCGGGGGACGAATCAGTGCAGCTCACTCGCCGCGGGGAGGGACGCAGGAGCCGCAGCCCTGCACACCATCCCCGCCCGCCTCTCCCTGCGTCCCGGAGCCCGCTCGGGATTCTCCCTCGCGAGCCGCCGTACTACGGAGCAACCAAGCTGCGCTCCCTCCCGTCTCCTCCGCTCTTCTCTACCTCCTTCTCTCCCTCCCTCGCTCCCGCCTATCTCCTCATCTCCCTCGGCTGCCTCCCCCGCCCCCATCCACGCCTCCATCTCCGCCCACAGGTGGGTGGGGACAAACAGTCTGCCAATCAGAAGAAGGGGTCCGCACCTCCTCTCCGCCCCTACCGCTGGCCCCGCCCACCACGGGAACCAAAGGAGGAGGAGTCCATCAAAATGGAAGAGGAAAGAGTGACAGCCGAATAAACCAATCAGCAAGCTCAAAGGGGCGGGAGTGGGACTCTCCTTCCTCCCCGCCCCCTTCCCAGAAAGCGTAACCAGGGGCTTCTATTCAGGCATTTCCCTGACCGGGCTTATGGAGATTTTGTTGTACGATTTCAGTGCCCCTGTCCTTTGCCATGCGAGGCACTAGTTAGGATGCATTCAACTAACTTAGTTACAGAAGGTTTTAAAGGAGAGAACAATGTGGACGTGAAAAGGGAGGCGGATCACAGTCCGAGGAAGGTGGTAAGGAGATACGTTGGAAGAAGGAAGGGTGTGGTCTTTCGCTGAAATTTGCATAAAACGAAACCCATCGGCGACTACAACTTCGCCCATTTATTGGTCGCTCTTGGTGCGGAGCCTCGCGTCTCCTCCGAGCAGAGCATGCCGGGAGATGTAGTTCCGAGTGCGGTTGCTATGGCGTTCTCTACAGTCTCGGGGAGTCCAGGAGTGACGAGCGGCCTGACCAATGGGAGCAGCGCCTGGGCCAGAGGGGGCGGGCTCTCTGCGAAAGGACTGGAAGGTGGCGGTGGCGAAGGCGCAGGCCGTTGGGGCCGGTCGGAGGCAGGTGAGCCAGGGGAAACGCGTGGTGGGTCTTGGGAAACAAGGATTTGGGCTAAAACTCGAGAGACGTCCCGCCAAACCATCCAGCCTTGGGGCGGATGGTGGTTCGCATCGCACCCCAGCCTCAGACCCGCTCGGGCCGAGGCCTCGTTTGGCCAAGGCCGCTGAGGGGCGGGTAAGGCGGTTTGACTGACGATTTCCTGGTCCTTACGGGTTTGGATTGTAGGTTTTGTCTCAGTTTTCATCTCACTCCACATTTATGGAGGCGAAAGGCTGGAGGTTCCCTTGCACTGCATCTCCCAGCTTGGATCCGCTCCCCCCACCCCGCTTCTTTTTGTTCCTGTAGTTTGAGTTTCCTTTTTCTTCCTCCTTTATCCCTTCTCTGCCACCTCCTCCTTCACTTTCCTTTTTAGGTGAGTAATTACTTAAAGAAAGGGTGTTCGCGTTTATGTGACTCCAGGACCAGATTTGCCCTCTTCGTTAAGCTAAACAGCAGAACTCTGGAGCAGGGCGTAGAATCACCCTAGAATCAGGTTGCGGTGCGGATGCTGATTGTCTAGGTCTGCACCGGGGCCTGAGAATCTGTATTTCTAACAAGCTCCCAGGTGCTGCTAGCCCACGTTATGAGTGACAGGGTTCCACCTCAGCTCTGTGCAATACAAATACAATGCGAGCCACTTAGGTAATTCTGAGTTTTCTGGTAGCCACAATAAAAAACGTGAAAAGAAATACGTGAAATTAATTTTAATAATATGCTTCATTTCACCCAGTATATCCAAAATATTATCACAACACATAAGCAAATATTTAAAATTGAGATATTATACATTCTTTTTTTTTTATATTGTCTTCGAAATCTGATGTGTATTTTACGCTTACAGCACATGTCAATTGTGACTAGACACAATTCTCCTGAGCCACCTGTGGCTAGTGGCTACTGTCGTTGGACAGCGCCAATAACAATTAAAAGGTGCTAAAGCTGAGGTTGCACCCGCCCAAGCCCTTTGCTGCTCTGTGACATGGACTTTACAACTGTGTTAGAGGGTCTCTGCCCAATTTACAGAAATAATAGGAAAAATAGCCAACATTTATTGAACCCGTATCCTGTGCCAGGTGTCATACTGAATGCTTTGCATGTATTATTTAAGCCTTACAGCAACCCTTTGAGGTAACTGATATTATTATCTCTGTTTTGTAGATATGAAATCTAAGGCCCATAAGGTTAAAATTAAGTAGCCCAAAGTCACGCAATGAATAAGTAGGAGAGCCAGGATTCCCACTGGGGTCAGTTATGACTTCTAATTCCTATTCATCATCCACTGAAGTGCATGATCATTATTGCACCTCATTGATGCCTCTGCTCCAGCTTATAGCAGGGGATGAAATGTTCAGTTTGAAACAGAGTTCCCCATACAAGGTCAAGTTGCCTGTCATTTTGCAGTGGAATGTTTTGGTAGTTTTACAACACTCTGTGCTGTGCATTCAGAATTAAAGTTCTGGATTGAAGAAGAGTGTTCAAAACCTCGAGACATTTGGGCCTCTAGACCAGTACCGTACCTTGGGTGGTAATGTGTCTTGCTTCGTTTGTGTACCCCTCTGAAGAAGGAGGGTGGGAAAGCTTGGGAATTCTTAAAATGTTTCACTGTGAAATCACGGTGTGTTTTGGTTTTGTTGGTTGTGAAATCTTTTTTTAATTCTTAAAAATGAATATTTTCTTGCTCCTGTGAACTCCACATAGAATACTTCAAAGACAACTTTATGATTTTTCTAGACCCAATGAACAGTCGTACATTGAGCTAAGGAGAGTTTTATGAGTAGAAGAGCAAAAAATACACTTATCCACACATGCTAAAATATGGTGTCTTGCAAAATAATTTTCTTCTATTTTATACATTGTAATAAATGATACATCTTGTGAATTCTCTTGATTGTGAATTTATTAGTAAATATTTCATCCAAATTACAATTCCTATTTTGCATCTGAAGCAAGAAATAGTTTCTTTAAGATCCTGTAGTGAATTGGAAAATTAAATAAGCATTTACAAACTGCAATAATGTTAGTTGGTGGAAAAGAAGATCAGTTAAGTCATTTGGAGAGGAGAGAGAGTGTGGTAGAGATTTAGGGAGGATCCCTCAATTGCTTATCTCCCTCATCACCACCTGCGTTGTCCCAGTGTCACATAATTAAGCCAGCACAAAGGGAAGGCAGTCATTCATCATACCATTGGCTCCATTGTTCCCCAGTAGTACAATATGGGAAACTGTGATGTTAATTCAGAAATGGAAATGAGAGTTAAGTTTCTATTGTTCTGATTCTTACCATATTAAATGGCCCAGCATTGGATAGTAACTGGACCAAAGATTTCCAATCTTTGAAATAGTGACCATCCCACTTCCCCAACCTACCCACTCCCCACTCCCCAGAGGTGCTGGCATCGGAGTGCCTCCAATAAGAACTCTTAAGTGGAAACTCATTTGCAAATCAACAAATAGTAAAAGTTAATCTCTCTTGGAGATAGGAGAGTTAATCAGAAATTCTTTTGAAATTCAAAAGAGGTCATTGTTGGGAGCAGCCAGTGTTCTAGATAGACACATGTTGGAGACCACTTGTTGCACAGATAGGCAACAATTTGATATTTCCAAGCAAATGCCTTCTTTCTTTGCTTGTTGAAAGCATATATCAAAAAGAAAAATTTTCCCTTCCTAATTCTTCACCAATCTTTAGATCTCAGTTTGCGTGAGATGTAAAGATTATGCCACACTTGTATAAATTTAATTGAGTATATCGTGATATTGCTCTTAGAAATCTAGATTGTCATAATTAGAAGAGGCTTTAGTGTGGTCATCACATCCCTCATCCCCTTCACCTAATGCTCGAATCCCCTTTAGGAAGCCACTGTAAGTGTGTATGCAGCCTCTGTTTCAATCCTTCTAGTGATGGGGACCATGCAGCTTCATGCATTTTCCTAAGTTTTAGATTAGATACCTAAAAAGTGAAAATAAAAAGTTCTCACAACACATGTTATTAGCTAGAAATGCTTTCCAGGGTTTAGCCAAGTGTGAGCCACTATCACTGTGTCTCCTGTGCCCATCTGGTGGCAGGAGTTGTATGCAGCAAGTGCAGTTGTATGCAGCAAAACAACTGTGTACTCATTGTGTATGCAAAGTGTCCTTAGAGGACACAGATTTCTAGAGACCGTTGCCTGCACAACGTGGAGATGTCCTCCAGTTGTTAGGACCATGTATTCAGCTCCCTCTTTAAGAAGCAGAACTGGCCTATCTAGCTAGCACTACCATTCTCTACAATCTGCAAAGTATGGTATTTGAACCAAAGCTCTGGCTAGGTACTTTGATTATGCTATGTTTTTTAACCAAATATTTGGGCATGTGGGTTGACATACTTCTTTCTCTGATGTGTGGATATGTGTGAAAAGTCTCACAGATGAGTAAAAGCATTGTTAAAACTTAATATTAAGTCACCTCTTCGACATAACTGAAGATTTACCCCTTACAGTCCAGCCAGCTAGTATGAGAGTGCTGTGTACTAGTCACAGCTCGATGATGAGCATCTGGGGCCTGATTTCAGAGTTGACTTCATCCAGTATTCTGTACCCTCACTGCTTGACAATATATCTTTGCTTTCCTTAAAATAAAAATGAATGTTGGGGGCCAGCCCCGTGGCCAAGTGGTTAAGTTCACGTGCTCCGCTTCGGCAGCCCAGGGTTTCACTGGTTCGGATCCCGGGCGCGGACATGGCACCACTCATCAGGCCACGCTGAGGCAGCGTCCCGCATGCCACAACTAGAAGGACCCACAACTAAAATATACAACTATGTACTAGGGGATTTGGGGAGGAAAAAAAAAGATTGGCAACAGTTGTTAGCTCAGGTGCCAATCTTTGAAAAAAAAAATGAAGGTGGGTCAGAAACACTATAACTGAATCCAAAGTGGCCATGGTATTATAAAGTTTGTGTTGGGGAATAATAGAAAATTGAACATAGAAGAGTTTAGACTTTCAGAAATTAAGTTGGCCATGGAGTAACAGGTGAATCGGATGAGGGAAAGAGATGAAGCCGTTCAGCAGCCTGTGGCCACAGCCCGGGCCTGAGGCATTGCAGCCTTACCACATCACTTGTGCAGACACCCACCAAAACCAAAAACTGAGCAGATGAGCCAGGACATCATGAAGGAAAAGGAAGCTTTGTGGTCAATAACTTACTACAGAGGAAGGAATTATGACAGACTCTAAGATAGTCTTTTTTTTTTTTTTTGAGGAAGACTAGCCCTGAGCTAACATCTACTGCCAATCCTCCTCTTTTTGCTGAGGAAGACTGGCCCTGAGCTAACGTCTGTGCCCATCTTCCTTTACTGTATATATGGGATGCCCACCAGTGACAGCATAGTTTGACAAGTGGTGCATAGGTCCGCACCCGGGATCCGAACCAGCAAACCCTGGGCCACTGAAACGGAGTGAGTAGACTTAACCGCTGCACCACTGGGCCAGCCCCTAAGATAGTCTTGCTGACTGAAGATTGTTACAGCAAAATCTTGTTTGAGGGAAAGATGAGTCCAGTTTTATGTCTGTTGAATTTGAGGTTGGTCTGGTACTCAGAACAGTTTTGGTCTGAAAATGCAGATAAAGAATGAGCTGTAGAGGTTTTATTTACAATTATTAATGGATGAGCTGCTTGGGGGATGAAGTATAGCAGGAAAAAAGCAAGTGGAGTTCATGTTGCTGTTATAACTAAGATGAAACCGGGTTAAATTTCTTCCCATTGATTTTTTTAGAAATTCCTTAAAAGATCAGTACTTTTATTAACTACTTTCTTGAAGCGTATTTATAGTCAAGTGTTTAATTTATGCAAAGTCCTCTTTCTGGTTTGTACCAAAAATTGTTTCAAATAGATGTCTTAATTTTTGTTTCTTCAGGTTTTTTTAATAGGTTTAACGTGTGGCCATTATGAAAATTTAAAGTATCACACATATAATCCTCAATTTGTGCACTTATGTCAAATATATTTAAAATCTGATATAGCTGAGAAAATAGAAAATCTTCATGCTTTTTATAGGCTATCAGCCTACATTTTTAAACAGTTTATTTTCATTTAAAAGTTTTATGTAACACTTTTTGATAAAGGAAAGTTTACCGTAGAACATAATTTTGAAGTTACATGACATTCACTCTTTGAAATGGCATGATAAGCTATATATTTTAATTTATATTTTTATTTTATAAGATGTTATTTTATTTCCTGTATGCAAAATCTTTACATTCAATAAAAATTTTGTTAAATGATGGACTAAGTGTTCCATTTAATCTGGACCAGTGCCTAAGAAACTATGTGGGCCTTGAATACCATTCATTCTACCATTTTCTTAGTGTTAAGAACTCAGTATTCCTTTTTTTGGTTTGCAAAACAAATATATTTCCTCAGTTTTCTTCTGGACACTTTTGTAAAAACTGTTCTCTCTTCACTTTGTAATTTTGAGGATATTTTTGTTCCTACATGGTTCTTTATTGGATCAACTAAACATTACTTTTTTTCTACTAGCCAGGCCAATTTTAACCTAAAATTTGGAGAAACTATTTAGGATGATCTGATAAAAATATTGGCATTTTTATCGTATATAATATTTGCTTTAGGGCACCCTAGGGGTACAAACAAGCAGTTATCTTGAAATTGGGGTGCATGTAGTATAAAGTCCTTGTAACCGCTGATCTGGGAGACACGCCATATGTTTTAAGATGCATCGGGGGCCAGCCCAGTGGCAGGCGGTTAAGTTCACACGTTCTGCTTCTCGGCAGCCCTGGGTTCGCTGGTTCAGATCCCGGGTGTGGACATGGCACCGCTTGGCGAAAGCCATGCTGTGGTAGGTGTCCCATATATAAAGTAGAGGAAGATGGTCATGGATGTTAGCTCAGGGCCAGTCTTCCTCAGCAAAAAGAGGAGGATTGGCAGTAGTTAGCTCGGGGCTGATCTTCCTCAAAAAAAAAAAGATGCATCAAGCAGAGAAAACAGTGGCTTCCAGGATTACAAAGAGAGATGCTTTGAAATCAAGGTGTTGCTATGTCAATGTTCCATGTCTTGAAAAGGCAACTTTCGGAGCCACTGACTGAGTAGGAGCAGAGATTGATTCAGTTAATAATAATGGATATTGATTCTCCCAAACAATAGCTGGGAAGACCCACTAGTTAGTAAGTGAATACAGCAAGGTTTTGTTTGGTAGGATGTGATGAAATCTAGGAGCATGGAACAGATGGGGTGGGTTGAGTGTCTTGGGGTGATTTGAGACAGGGAGTAGGACCTGAGCTTTATTTGCTGGACATGGACGCACACACACACACAAAGAGCTTCTGTAACCAAAGGGTTCGAATTAATTTAATCACCTCACCTAGCTCACCCTGTTTTTATATACTTTGTTGATACGTGCTACATATGTAATTTCTATGTATGTCTTGAACGCGTATTCATTTCTCTTAGTTTCAGCATCTGATTATCACATTCTAGAAAGCAGCAACCATTGCTAAACTAACTCAGTAAAAACCCTTTATATGGATCCCATTAGACACACTAGATTTAACGTGCAGGGCTGGCTTCATGGGTGTGGGAGCTGTGCAGTCACACTGGACCTCGTGCTCAGAAGGGACCCATACTTGGTTTAATGCTCTGCTATCACCATCTTAAAATTTTGCTAATTTCTGGACAAAGTTCCCCACATTTTCCTTTTGCAGTAAGCCCTGCAAATCATGTAGCCAGTTCTATCAACAAGTACTTAATAATTATCAGTCCTATGCTAAAGGATTTAGGATTCTAGTTTTAAGTGATATATCTAATGTTAACAGCTCAATAGAAGACCATTGAATATAATGGTTAAGAGAAATGACTTTGGCATTGGTAGCACATAGTTTGCCCCAGCTCTGGCCCAGCTGGTGCTATGAGACACTAGGCATGTGCCTGAACCTCTGTAAGACTCAGTTTCCTCCTCCATAAAGTAAATTCAATAACAGTACTTTCACCAAAAAGTATGTATAAGAATGTTCTTTTAGCAAGATAATTTGTAAAAGCCCCAAACTGGAAACAATCAATGTCTGTCTATGGTGAAAGGGATAAATAGTAATTTATTCATATGATGGACTACTATCTAGCAATGAGAATGAGTAAACTACAACTACAGGCAACAACACGGGTGAAACTCACAAACATGATATTGAGAGAAAGGAACCAAACATAAAGGAGAATAATTTCATTTACATAAAGTCAAAAACAGGCAAAACTAACGTGGGCTGTTGAAACTCAGGGTACTGAGCATCCTTAGGAGGGGGAGGCAGTAACTAGAAGGAGAATGAGGGAGCCTCTGGAGTTCTAGGAATGTTGTGTTTCCTGCTGTGACATGAGCACATTAATTTCGTAAAATTTAGCAAGCTAATACGCTTAGGATCTGTGTACTTTTCTGTGTGTATTTTATTCTACAAAATTTACTTTAAAAAATAGTCGTTCTATACAATTACTGTGAAAATTAAAGAAACAACTGTGGAATCCTTAGAGATGCTTCAAGAATTCCGCAGAATATGGGTTTAAATACGTCTTTTAAATCGTTTGTAGACTAATATAGAAGAATTAGGGGCACAATTTCAATGAGTGTCTTGACTGCCCACTTTTTCCGTTATAATGGTCTTTTTTTTTAAGTTTGAAAGCCCTTTAAATGACACCTTGGTAAATAAAACTGACCTTCTCTGGCCTTCATTAAGTTTTTTTTCTCAAGTACATCTAATAATTTTTATTGAAAGCAAAGTGAAATTAAGCACACGCTCACCTGTGCAGTGAAAGATTGAACTATAAACTCATTCTCAGTACCCAGAGATTGTTGTATATTATCTTATTTGATCACTTTCAAGAAATATTATGTAAATTTATTTATTTGAAGATTACATTTATGGTTGTCATTTTATCCTTTGCCAGCACTGTTTTTCAATTTTTGCTTTCATTTGGTCTGGAAGATATTTTATTTGTTTATTTCATGTTTCTTTGTTTTTTTTAGGTGACTATGAAAGGCTTATATTTTCAACAGAGTTCTACAAATGAGGAAATAACATTTGTATTTCAAGAAAGGGTGAGAAAAATTGTTTAATTATTAAATGAAACAAGATAGTATATTTCTGTATGTAGTGGACCCAGTTTTAAATGACCTATTATAAGTCATTTTAAGCGGAACTAAATGAGCGAAAGTTACTGAAATGAAACTCTTCGAATTACTTTCCCTTAATTTTCATGTGAAAATGCTGGTCTGTGTTGTAGTGTAACTAAATTTGTAAAAGACTTGCCACAAAAGAGTTTTAGTTCCTTTGGGGTGAAAGTTTGAAAGAGATTAGGAAAAGAGAACAACTTTATCGTTAGTCTTATATGTTGCAAAATTAACCAACTTATTCTGAATACCACAGTAAAGTGAGTTTTTAGATTGTGGCCATATTTCAGAAAATACTTTCTCTCATATTGTGAAATGAAAGAGGTGGAGAAGCATTGTTTTCCACACTAATTGCTGAGCTTTACCAAGTTACCTCATTCACTAAGCTTTAAATGATCTCTAGTTTTTGACAACTTTAAGAAGAGATAGCAGAATTTTCAGATATTGGTAATTGCTTGAAAGGTTTGTGGTAGGCCAAAATCATTTAACTATAAATTTAGGAACAAAAACTAAGCGCTGTAAGTATTTCATGGTCATGATAAGAACTTCTGGATCATGAACACGGTCCAGTTTCTCTGTTATCTTTTACTGACTCCAAAATCTCCTAGGTCAGGAGTCTCAGTCTCAGACAGACTGGCTTCTACCGTTGGGTCAGGATGAGGTTTGATTGCCCTTCAGGAAGAACCTGTCTCCAGGGCCACACCATCAGGAGTGAAATCCACAAATTTGTCTGTATTATTGAATATCTTCATGATGTCACCAAATATTATCAAATCTGAGATTTAAAAGAGAGACTCCCAGAATATTGTGTTCATGTCAAATAAAACACAGTGATCCCTTTGATAGGCCAAAGGAGGGGCTAGGTAAGTAACTATTTTTAGCCAGCTTTTGGTTCCAAATTTTGGATGTATCAGGAGTTGAGGAGAGTATTTTAATTATTGGTGCCAGGATATAGTTATTTGGGGAAGGTGATATGATATTTAATAATATGGTTGGGTGACATTGAGTGCCTGAATGTAGAATATTCTTTGCCTTTGAAGTTATATGGAATCGGAGGAGAATTATGAAGTTATATGGAATAGTTATATGGAACTAAATTTTATTAAGTTTATATTTTGACCCCAGAATCTCGTGAGGCTTGCTGAAATGTCCAAGACAGATGTTAAATAAGGTATTGTTAAATAAGAGATAAACAAGTGACACTAAAGAACTTTATTTTTAGCATTAAGAACATTCCAAAATCAGTAAAATGTGTATAAGGATATCCTAGTAATAGTGAAGGTTCATTGCTTTGAGATTATTTAGATTGAAATAAAGCTCGGTAATTGCCTCTATATCTTGTTATCCTAAGTTTATTGTCTGCACATATATCCACATCAATATCTGAGTACATTTTCAAAATATGTACCCTAAGGCTTTTTAAAAACTTTGCCCCAAAATTCCCTTTATTCTTTTTTTTTTTTTTTTTTTGAGGAAGATTAGCCCTGAGCTAACATCAGCTGCCAATCCTCCTCTTTTTCTGAGGAAGACTGGCCCTGAGCTAACATCTGTGCCCATCTTCCTCTACTTTATATGTGGGACACCTGCCACAGCATGGCTTGCCAAGCAGTGCCATATCCACACCGGGGATCCGAACCTGCGAACTCCGGGCCACAGAAGCAGAACGTGCGAACTTAACCACTGTGCCACTGGGTCGACCCCCCCTTTATTCTTCTTTGATTATATGTTATTGGATAATTACTTGTAGCTTTTTCAATTAAGTTAGCTATAAGATTTGGGATATATTCAATTTTGTTCAATTACGTATGAAATTTTTCACAACATAAAGGTATGTTCTCAAAGGAATGTGTAATTATTTTATCATTTGGTTCTAGGAAAATCTTCCTGCTACAGAGGATTACTATGTGAAACTTCAAGTTAAAGCTTGTGCTCTGAGCCAGATAAATACAAAGGTATTGGTGCTTTTATTCTGGCCAAAAGTCAGATGAGAGTTTTGTAGTATATTTATTGTACAAATATATTATAATGATAATTGACTTCTGAGTGCCAGGAAATTATTAACATCCTTAGAAAAATAGAAAAGCTAGGGAAAAAATTTAATGTAAATTTCTGTATTTCTACATTAAGGTAAATTACTATTCTAATTGAAGTCATATTTTATATTACTATGTGAAAATATCTTATAAACTCTACATTGTGAAAGATTGAGAATTTATACTTACTAAGGCCTGTAGTCAAGGAAGAAGTTACCTTTATAAATATAGTAAAAATAGAAACTAGAAACTTAACCAACTACTTTATTAAGTACTCGATAGATATTTCTAGTTAATGTCTTTAGTTAGAGCTCATATTCTTCTTGTCATTTCTCTGTCTCTCTCGCTCATGCAACCATATCCCCAACCACACACCACCGCACAGTAATCTTCCATTATTGGCTATGAAGTACATGGGAAGTCTTCGCATGTATATGAAGTATAGTTAAATGTGCCGTGATAAATAGAGCAGGTCCATTTACTCAGTTTTTTAAAGATTAATACCATAGTTTCATTGGACCTTTACTTATTGCATTATAATTCACCATAATTTCTAGGGCTCTAAAAGTTTTCTGCCATAAAATCACGTTTAGAAAAATTACAAAACAAGGTTCTAGGCTTCCGTTGGGGAACTCTGTAATGTGAGCGTGACTAGAGAAGTGAGTCCCTGAGATGCCCTGAACCTCTTTCACCAGGAGCGCCGGTACTCCTTCTTGTCGGCAGAGTTCTGTTTTCAGCCCTTCCAGGGTGTTCTTCTTAAAACTACAAAAAATGCATTAAAATCCAAGTCTAAGAAATTACCTCCATGTAGGAAATGGTAAATTATAGTAAAATCAATTTAATGAAATATTGCACAATTGTTAAACATAACGCTTATGAAAACTGCATAGTAATGCAAGAAAATGCTTACAGTAAGTGAAGGAGGCAGGATGGAATTGCTATAACCATGATTATCGCTCCATAAAAGTGTGCATAAAAGAAATACTGTAAAACGTCCAGTATTTCCATAAGAACGTCCTATGAGCATCTTAGGAGAAGCATAATGGACCACATTGAAAAAGAGTCTTTTCTATCGATCAAGTATATACAGGAGATCAAAAAATTGAAAAATAAAGGAAGTATACAAGAGAATTATTTCAATTTCTTTTTACTTCCTGTTCCTCAACTACTAGTATACCTACAAATATGTTCAGCCTCTCAAGTATTATAATAGAAGTATAAGTGGCAGGAACTTAAACTACAGGCTTAGGTATGCACACTCTCTCACTTTAAAAGTCCAGTATTTAAATTGGTGAGAATCTAACAAAAGACTAATCTCTTAAAAATACATAATTTATCCTTTAATAAAAGAAACTCCTATCTGAAAATATATGGCAGTTTCCCTGTGTATATCAATCACCTGCTACCTAAACCAAGACTTGTGAGCAACGCCAAAGATTTCAAAGCTGTGGGACTGGAGCACTTTTCTGTCCTCTCCGGACTCTCCCCACCCCTAAAGTGTTGAGCCGACCAAGAAGTGTTTGGGCTGTCATTTCCCTTCATACCGGGCAGAGTAAATATGTTAAAGTGTGTTAATGGTGATTTGAATGCTACTACTCATACCTATGTCCTACATATCAGCTAATTCCTCAGCAAACTCTTGGTTTCCTACTCTATAGAGAAACCTGTTTTGTGAAGTTATTTGCTTTGTCTTCATTCCAAAAATTGAATCGTATCTGCTTTTTCTGTAGTTTGATTTTTGCTCTTGCTTTCCTCATACATCAGAAGAGACCAGGATTTGTTCTTGACAATAAACAGCCTTTGTCATGATTTAGCTTCTAGCAGAAATGAAGATGGAGAAGGATTTCTTTCCTGTTGGGAGAGAAGTTGCTGGAATTGTGTTAGATGGTAAGTTTACAGATATAAATATCTGTATTTTCTAAGGTAAAAGAAATTAAATGGGGGCTGGCCCAGTGGTGCATTGGTTAAGTGCGTACATTCCGCTTCTCGGAGTCCTGGGGTTCGTGGGTTTGGATCCCAGGTGCGGACATGGCACCGCTTGGCAAAAAGCCAGACTGTGATAGGCGTCCCACGTATAAAGTAGAGGAAGATGGGCATGGATGTTAGCTCAGGGCCAGTCTTCCCCAGCAAAAAGAGGAGGATTGGCAGTAGTTAGCTCAGGGCTAATCTTCCTAAAAAAAAAAAAAAAGAAATTAAATGGTAGCTAATTTGTTTACTGTCGCATAAAATTATACATACTTCTTTAAATATAAAATTTAATTATACAGAAATGTTTCCTTTTTTCATTAAAAAGAAAAATAGAACTTAATTGGCTTTTATAATTGAAGAGCTTATTACAGTTTAGTAAATATTTAGTGATTGTCTTTAAATTCATGAGTAATCATATTAAATAAGATGACCAATGTTGTCCTTTTTATGATGTTTATGAACCAGGATAAATTACTTGTATAAGTTGGCTTCGGGCCAAAATTTGTATACTAATCAGTAACTACATTCACATTAAATTTTTGAAGTTTGCCTAAAATTGAGCATATAAAAGTTAAGCAGTTTGCTCTTTCAAAAATGTGTTTTGAGGAGAAATAACCAATAAGATTTTGTGATTGCCTCAAATAAAATTTTTTTCTAAGTTTTATTTAGTAGAATATGGTGTTAACATGCAGGACAGTAAGCCTAAGTATTTGAAATAATTTGTTTCTAAATAGACCTACTGTTCATAGACATTGCTAATAGGTGGTTCGTGATCAATCGGTATATGGTTGCACTTTCTGTGTATGTGAATGAATGAATGAGTGTGCCGTGTGGGTTAGACTATTTGAATTTTACTTGTGATTTTAATCTGTAATATACATAGTCTTTCTCAGTGTAATCTTCTGTCATAGCTAAATCATAATTTCATTCCCTCTCCTTTCTTCTGCTCAGAATGTGGGAAAATAAAATAAGAATTATAATATCCAGAAGATGATCCATCAGTCATTCATTCATTCATTCATTCATTTCGTATTTAATGAGCACTTGCTGAGTGATTGGGATATGAAGATAAATAAGACAGGGTGCCTGCTCTCAAAGAGTTCACAGTCTAGGGGAGAGACAGACACACACGTACGAGCAGATTAGGAAAGCTCTGAGGAGAGGTGTGCAACCCAGCCAGAAGAAACAGGAAAAGGCTCCTTGGAGTAAGTTAGCCAGGCAGTAAGTGGCCGGCAGGAAGAGAATCACAGTCAGCAGAGAGTATATCATGAGCAAAGACAGAGAAGCAAGTCATAATGTGATGGATGTGACAATTACAGAGTTTTGTGCTGCTGGAGCAAAATAAAGTTCTGGGCAGGAGTCAGAGGCAAGAAACTCAGCAGCAGAGAAACATTTTGTCAAGAAAATTCTCCTTCAAATATAGCGGAATAAAAGATATTGAACAAAATATTTTAATGGTGATTTGAACACTGATACCTTCCCCCAAAAAAAGAGGCAGGAGGTTAGGCGAGGGCCCCAGCCGTAATGAACCTCGCGTGTCAGACTGGGTTTTAGGGAGATTATTAGTAGAGTGGGTCCATGTGAAGGGTAGTTTTGAGGTAGATCAGACTGGTTGGGTTGTAGACCAAGAGGCAGGAGACACCAAAGTCCAGAACCTGGACAGTAGTGGCAGGGGTGGAAAAGGGGAATGTTTTCAAGAAATACTGAGGAAGTCAAGTCAACAGGACTTAACAGTTGACCGGAAGAGGGGCATTAAAAAACAGGTAAGAGCCGGAAGAGATTTTCAGGATTCTGGGTAAGGTGGTGCCACCCATTGGTAACAGAAGAGGATCCGATTTGGAGGAAGATAGTGAGTTTAGGTTTATACTTGTTGAGTTCAAGATACCTAGGTGACATCTCGTTGGAGATATCTCATAAGCAGTCTTGTGAGTTTAAGCTCAGAGGTGAGAGATCTGTGCTGGAAACGTGTACATTTGAACACTGTCAGTAAGTAGGTTGTATTTGAAATCAGGGAGTTGATGAGCTCACCGAGAGAGAGAGTAGAAATGAAGGAGAGACCTAAGCATAGCCACTATTCGAGGGCCATTTAAAAGGAGTGTGAAGGAAGCCAAAAAAAGGGATCAGGGTGATTCCAGGAGGACGAGGAGCCGCAGCAGAATGGATCAGAAGCCAAAAATATTGGGGGATGATAGCCCAGGAGGGATCCAGAGAAGCAGCCGACTGTAAAAGGACGACTCGAAAGGAGGCGTGTTAGATTTAGAGCTACTTGCTGAGTACCATCAAGTGAGTGCTGGGGCCGTTTTTCTGACAGAGCCAGCCAGAGAGGCCACTCGAGATCTCAGGCTTCCACCGTGCCTCACTGCTTCACCTCAGCTTCCTCGTCTGTTCAGTAGGAATAATAATACCAACCCTTGGGTATGCCATGAAGATTAAATGTGATAACACTAAAATGCTGGGCTCAACTAGGCATTCAGTGATGTTTGCTTTTTTCCTCCCCGTTCTGCTTGTAACTGTGAACAGAAATATTCTAGGGGCCGGCCCAGTGGCACAGCGGTTAAGTTCGCATGATCCACTTCAGCAGCCTGCGGTTAGCCGGTTCGGATCCCGGGTGCGGACATGGCACCGCTTGGCACGCCATGCTGTGGCAGGTGTCCCACGTATAAAGTAGAGGAAGATGGGCACGGATGTTAGCTCAGGGCCAGTCTTCCTCAGCAAAAAGAGGAGGATTGGCAGAGATGTTAGCTCAGGGCTGATCTTTCTCAAAAAAAAAAGAATATTCTAAAGAATTGACTGCTGGGAGAGGGTTCGTCTGTACATGTGCAGAGAAAATGCAACTATCATTTCTGTATAGTTCCAAAAACTTCTTGGCACCAGTCTGAATTTATTTCCATAATTCCAAATCAAAGTAATTTTCTCTGTGGCTCTTAGCAGAATTCCCCATTGTGTGTCTGAGAGTCTGCAACTGAAATAACGATAGAAGATTGGGCTGGCCACAGGACGGGGGCAGTCAGCATAGGAGCTGTGGAGTGGATCATTTTCCTTTATCCTCCATCTTAGGTGAAGAGAAGGACATCTTCTGTGGTGTCAACAGCCGCGTGGCCCAGATTTTGTAGAGAATTTTCTAGAGAATCCGGATTTGAAGTGTCCTATCCTGTAATCCTTGTAGACCATCAAAATGTCCCGGAAGTTCTTGGCCTTTTCTCTCGAGTCAGTGACTTTTTATAAACTCATGCATCTTTTGATTTATTTTAATAGTTAAGAATAATTTTAATAATCTCATAATACTAATTATTAATTTTCTCCAATCTTTAGTTGGAAGCAAAGTATCATTCTTTCAACCAGATGATGAAGTCGTTGGTAAGTTACAGTTCATTGTCGTATTTCGAGTCATCTCTTTGACTGTCGTCTCTTCTTCCTCCGGACAATTATGAATGTTTGCTGTGAGCTCGCCTCATGTACTAGTACTTTCCCGATTTGGGGGAGTTTGATCTCAATAGCAGTACATTTAAAACTTTTCAGTATTTGACTATAGAACAATATCCTAGATAGAAAATGGCAGTAGTTATCACTGTGCTTGGTGCAGCCCTGTCCTGACAGGATCGCAGTCTAAGGCTAGACTGAAGACTAGAGAAAAGAAAAGGCACAGGTCGTCTGCTTGAAGACTCCTGGCTGACTTGGCCGTATAGGAGCGCCACTCTCCACCTCCAACTTGAATTTTACAGGGCTGCTCCCTGACTACTCCTGTAAAACTAAAAATTCACTGGAAACAATGTATTGATTTTTTAAAAATTTCATAGTTAATACTATTTTGCAAACGTTCATATTTATATTTGTATCCTAGGCAGTCACACAAACGTATATAAAGTATGACCTTCGTAGTAGTCTTTTGTGGTTACCATTTCTCTGTGGAAAATATTCATAAAAATATATTGGTATAAAATCAGATAATGTTTAACTTTATGGCATACTTGAAGCTGTTCAGATTTATAGGAAGGTTTTCATCAGTTTTTTATGGTATTGTTTGACTTGTGTATTTTCTCAGAGGATTTATTATTTCTGTCTTCCTTATCTTTATCTGGCCAAGAAGTCAGTGACACTATGATTCTTTTTGTAAGAGACCAAAAATAAAATCTGACTAGCTTGAGGGAAAATGAGATTTTATTGGAAGCATCCTGAGGTATGTTATAGAACCAAGCTGGGAAGGTAGCTGTGCATCAGGGACGATGTTAATGAGGAACCCAGGTGCCCCCAAGACTCTGGCTTGGCTCTGTACATCAGCCATCGTCTTTATCATCACTCAGAGGTGAAAGAAGGTGAAAAAGAAAGGAAGAAAGAGAAGGTACAGGGGATACAGTGTCCATGTCAGAGAGTAAACTATCCACTGCCCTCCATATTTCTGAAGTCTCTTCCCTCCCCACACTAGTAATTACTGGAATCTTTCTCAAAATGCCACTGAACAAAATTTGTTTACTGGAATCTCATTAGGATTGAATTCATTTTGAGGTTGTTTCCCTTAAGTTTCTCGTTTTAATTTCAGGAATTTTACCCCTGGATTCTGAGGACCCTGGACTTTGTGAAGTTGTCAGAGTACATGAGCATTACTTGGGTATGTGACAGTTCGGTCTCGTGGAGCTCAGTCAAGTCTTACTTCACTGATGTGTGGCCTTTAGTAACATTTTGATTGCTTTGCATCTACCATGAATGCTCATAGTAAATAACTGTTGGCTGGTCATGTGAATACTTCTGGCTTAGATTTGGTATCCATAAAATTCATATTCAGATTAAACAGTATATAGACCTTTAAGTTTCACTTACACTGCTCAGGGTAAGGAGTTCGAAGAGCAGTTTCTCCCTTGGCTCAGAAATTATATCCCTAATCAGAATTTTTTACATTTTATTCTTAGTTATTAATTGAAATTTAAAAATGTACAAAATCTAGACAACACAGTAGAATCTGAGACAGGAAAGAATCAACACTTGTCTTTGGTTTCTATTACTAATTACTCATATCTTTTGACTAGTGCTCAATTTAACTGAAAGGTTAATTTTTCTTACACTAATTTACTTCTTGAATATTTAAAACAAATATAAATATGTATATACAAACTTCCTGAAACCGTAGTGAAAAGATGCTACATCTCCCTAGTAATCAGAGAAAAACAAATTAAAACCCCTTAGAGATACCATTTTGTACCCACAAGACCACAAAGTTATAAAGTCTGACCATCCCAAGTGTAGGCAAGAGTGTGAAGCAACAGAACCTTTTCTGCACTGAGTGTAAATTGGTACAAATGCATTAGAAAACGATTTAGCATCATCTAATAAAGGTAATGATGTATATACCCCAGACCTAATAATTCTACTGGTAGTTTTGTACCTTACAGAAACTTATGTGCACCAGCACATGTACACAAGAGTTTATAATAGCGTGGTTGGTAATCATGGAATAAAAGTGGAGACAGCCCAAATGTTCATCACCAGGAAAATAGATAACTAAAGATAATCCTAGATAGTAATTCAACTCAGCAGTGAAAATGAATAAGTAACAGCCAAACATGTCGAGATGAATGAATCTCATAAACTGTATTGAGTGAAAAAAGCAAGTTGCAGAAGAATACAAACAGTGTGGTATCATTTATTTCTATAGAGTTCAAAAACCTACAAAATTAAGCATATCTTATTTAAGGATATAAAGAAAAGGTAGGGATGGAAAGTGAGGTGGAGGTTGGGCTGCCTTTGTTGGCACGGGAGTAGGATGTGAGCAGAGTAGAGCCACAGGACTGCAGTGGGACTGTCAGGCAGCTGTTTCTTGTGCCGGGATTCATGGTATTCTTCATGCCGTATCTATAGGTCAACATACATTCTTTTGTGTTCTTGAACTATTTCATTAAAATTTTTCCTAAATTTTTTCTTAAATGATATAATCCCTGATAAGACCTTAGGAACAGGGGCCAATAAGGATTTTGGACTATTAAACTAGTAAATTTATATATTTGAGTCCATACAGAAACTTGGACCAGACTAACAAATCTTTGGCAGTTCATTTCTAAAATTATAAGTTGTAAGTAATTTATATTTAAATTAATGACATTGACTATGTCTAAAATTTCCAAGTAATAGCATGTTATTTTATTAAAAATTAATTTCAAAAGTCAGTTTTCCAGAAATCTGAGGCTTCCCCTTTTTATATGTATATTAGGCCCGGATATGGAGCCAAGTATGTGTCTTCCTTGGAAAGATCAAGCTCACTTTCAAATACCATGCAGTGCAAGTCTCTGGTCCATAGCTGTCTTAATATTATACAATTTGAAAATTGAGGACCACCACTGGCTCCTTTATGGGAAACTATCCTATTTTCAACCCCAGGATTTCCTTGGGCCCTTATTGTCTCTGTGCTTTTGAGAACCTTGCAGACATGGAGTCAACTAAAACCTGTAGTTTTGAGGAGGTTGGAGTTTTGACTAAATCTCTTAAACTAAATTGTCATCGGAGGTTAGCTATTGCAAAAACAACCAACCAAAAAAGGCCCATTCCTTTAGGTATTGCTGAACACTGGAGAATATAAAATGGACCAGAAGGAGCAAAGCAAATTGGAACATCAAAGTTTCCTAGCTATAAAGCTTAAGCTAAAATGAGCAAACCACACAAATGACCTTTTATTTTCCTACAGATCAGGAGGATTGTAGTCCAAAAATCGAGCAACATATATAGCGAAAACAGTTCCAGATATTCCTTAAGAAAGAAAAATACAATAAAATGTTTCTTTAAAAGAGGCACTTTAAGTAAGACCACTAACTGTGTATGACCTTTAGGCAAGACCCTGGGCACATTCACTTTAGCCATAAACACGGATGCCAAACCAGATAACCTCTAAGCTCTGTTGCAACCCCAATATTTTGTGAAAGAGTAAATAATTTCAGTATGTCCCTGAAGATTTGCAGAGGGAAATACTCAGTTGATCACAACTCTAGTGTAGTTCCTTTGATTCTTTGGTGATTTATTTTTTAATGAAAAGTCACCATTCAGTCACCTTCAAATAAATCTGTTCTTTCACCACGCCAAAGAATTAGGTTCCAAACAACTCCCCCTAAAATGTGGTATTGATCTTGTTGCAGAATAATAAAGATAGAGGTAAAAAGTTGAATAATTCTTCCAGCTCTTTTGTGCTTTCAGTTTTCCAGCCTTCTGTCAAACATAAAAATAATTTTATTTTTCATTCAAAATTTGGCACCCATTTTCAGCATTATTGCTTTGGACCTAAGGTATAAGGAATTGAGATGATGATTCTTGGGTTCTGATAACACTTTTATTATTGATCCATACATGGCTCTTTTGTTCATTTCATTAGTTTTTATAACATCATAAAACACTTGTGGGCCACCTGACACTAGAGCGGGGGCCCGACGTTAAACTACATCTCACCGTGCAATTTTAGCGCCTTTGCAGTCTTTTTATTATTATTAAAGATTTGAGGGGCTGGCCCCGTGGCCGAGTGGTTAAGTTCGTGCGCTCCGCTGCAGGCGGCCCAATGTTTCATTGGTTCGAATCCTGGGCGCGGACATGGCGCTGCTCATCAAACCACGCTGAGGCAGTGTCCCACATGCCACAACTAGAAGGACCCACAACGAAGAATATACAACTATGTACCGGGGGGCTTTGGGGAGGAAAAGGAAAAATAAAATCTTCGCAGTGCCATGTGTGCGCCTAGATTTCGAACTGGCAAAACCCTGGACCACCGAAGCAGAGTGCATGAACTTAACCACTCGGCCACGGGGCTGGCCCCCCTTTTTTTTTTTTTAAAGACTTTGCAGTCTTACATGAAGTTTTATTAGTATTTTTTTAAGGACTGCATGTTTGATTTTATTTAATTTTTTTTTGGATGAGGAAGATTGGCCCTAAGCTAACATATGTTGCCAGTCTTCCTCTTTTTGCTTGAGGAAGATTGGCCCTGAGCTAACATCTATGCCAGTCTTCCTCTATTTTGTATGTGGGATGCTGCGGCAGCATGTCTTGATGAGCAGTGTGTAGGTCTCTGCCGGGGATCTGAACTCATGAACCCCGGGCCACCAAAGCAGAGCACACAAAGTTAACCACTCCACCACCAGGGCAGCCCCCATGTTTGATTTTTTAATGAAAATGTAGGTAATCTCTATTATTATGATGGAAGACGTTCCCTAAACAATCCATATAAGTAAATGGTACATAGATGGAGCATGCATTGTTTGAGTAGATGTGCTTTAGAGTCAGACATTCAAACTTAGTAGTTCTGTGGCCTCAGACAAATGAATTAATTACCCTGAACCCCATTTCATAATCAATAAAATTGGGAGAATAGCTATCTTCAAGAGTTTGGTAAGGATGAAGTTCTAGGTATGGTATCGCCTGGTGCTTAGGATGTTTTACTGTTCAGTGCTCTGCTCGTCTGTCTGAATGTGCATCCTTGGCTGCTCTGTGTGCCCAGCAGATGGCACTAGTTATCGGTGAAGGCAGTGCTGACTGTCCTGTGCTACATCATCTGAATCCATTGCTGTTAGAGGAAGAGCATTGGAAAGAGCTGGGAAAGACTCTGAAAAGTGTTATAAGGGTGACTTTAGGTACAACAACAAAAGATTCCTTGTACTGTGAAAAACACACATTCAGCGTACAAAATTAAAAACAAAATGAATTAAAAATGAAATACTTAAAAATATTAAAGAGCGGGGCCGGCCCCATGGCACAGCAGTTAAGTTCACACGTTCCGCTTCGGTGGCCCAGGGTTTGCCATTTCAGATCCCGGGTGTGGACATGGCACCACTTGATGAGCCATGCTGTGGCAGGCGTCCCACATATAAAGTAGAGGAAGGTGGGCACGGATGTTAGCTCAGGGCCAGTCGTCCTCAGCAAAAAGAGGAGGGTTGGCAGCAGATGTTAGCTCAGGGCTAATCTTCCTCAAAAAAAGAAAAAAAAGATTGAAGAGCAACTTAATGGTCAGCTCTTTAAACTATATTAGGAGTTTGCATTTTGTTCCAAGTGCAGAGGAAAGCCATTGATGAACTGGAAAGAAAAGCCATAAAATTGAAAATAATATTTATAACACATAAACAAGCAAATGACTTATCTAGAATATATAAAAAAATTCCTATAAATTGATAAGAAAAAGATGAAACAATAGAAAAAATGATGAAACACTTGAACAGTCACTTCACAAAAGGAATTCCAGATGGCTGACACACAGAAAGATGCTCAACTTCATCAGTAGTGAGGGAAAGCAAATTAAAACCACAGTAAGAAACCATTTTACACCCACAGGATTGGTGAACGTGTACAATAATACCAAGAGGTGACAAGGACCTTCAGAGCCCCAGGAGCTCTAATAAACAGTGCTGTGGGAGAGCACAGTCGTGTCGCCAACTTTGGAAGCATGCAGTAAAGTCAAAGGTGGCACTCCCTTGGACCTGGGATTTCCACTCCTAAGGAAATACCCTAGAGAAAACCTGTGCATCAGTGTAACACTAGCTTTGATACAAGAGCATTCTTGGCAGCACTGTTTATAACGGTCAGAAACTAGAGACAACACAAATATTCCTCGATTGGAGGATGAATAACCAGACGAAGGTATTTTCACATCGTGGAATGCCATAAAACGACAAAAAGGAAAGCACTGCAGCCACATGTACAAGAAAGGGTGTGTCTTAAAAGCAAGATAGAGAAGAATGCATATGGTACAATTCCATTTAAATAAAGTTTAAAAACAGGCAAAACCAGATTATATTGTTTAGAAATGCATACATGAGTGATAAACTATGAAGGTGAATAAGAAATTAAGTTAGAATAGTGGTGGCCTCTGATGTCAATTATATCTAAAAAAAATGGTAGTTACTTCTGATGGGAGAGACAAGGCTGTCGGGGTGAGGGCTGTTCACTCTCGACCAGCGTGGTGATTACTTGTGTATTTGCTTTGTATTTATGCATCCAGCTGTACATTAGGTTTCATGTACTTTTCTGCATGTGTTTTTATTTCACAATAAAATCTTTAAAAAATGCACACACACTGGCTCCTGTGTTGAGAGTGGATTGTGCAGGGGCAAGAATGAAAGCAGGGAAACTAATTAGGTGAAAGATAATAGGAGTAGAGGCTTGGACCAGGGCCGGTGGTGGGAACGGAGATGGAGAGGATCAGACAGATTCAGGAGGCAGGACTGTTGGGACTTGCTAGCTGATTGTTTCCTCTTGTTGTCTGTGATAGTTCACAAACCAGAAAAAGTTACCTGGGCAGAAGCTGCTGGAACCATTCGGGATGGAGTACAAGCCTATACAGCTCTGCATTATCTTTCTCATCTCTCCCCTGGAAAATCAGTGCTGATAATGGATGGAGCAAGTGTAGGTGCTAATCGTTTTGTTAAGAAACAGACCAAAATACAGTAAACTTGGGGAGTGGGACATCCATTTGCTAATATAATTCTTTGCCAATAGCTTATTCATTGATTTCTTTACCAAACTCCCATTTTGTTAAAATAAGCAGCTTTTATCAATAGGAGATAAAAGTGACTTAGTGTGTTTCATTTCTTATTGCTTTGAGTCTGGTAGTGCATTAAAAAGCAGACAAGCCATTTTTTTCATGCCTGTTACACAAAGCGTAAAATAGCTCATGACATGTTTGCAGCCATACCCCAGAACTCCCTAGCAATTTTGTGTCATAACCCTCACACTTACACTCACGTTAATAAGTATTGCCTTTATAGATGGATCACACAAGATAAAAAGTGTGCTAATTTAAACATATTACATGTATCCTCAAAAAAACAGTTCAAATGGGCCAGCCCTGTGGTGTAGCAGTTAAGTTCCCATGTTCTGCCTCGGCAGCCTGGGGTTCACACGTTTGGATTCCGGATGCAGACCTAGCACCGCTGGTCAAGTCACACTGTGGCAGCGTCGCACATAAAATAGAGGAAGATTGGCACAGGTGTTAGCTCAGGGACAGTCTTCCTCACACACACACACACACACACACACACACACACACACACACAGCAGTTCCAGACACTAAAAGAATACATAAAAATATATTACAATCTAAAAATGTTATACAACTTGGGGTGAGGTTATAGTTTTCTTTCTGGCTGTTGAACATGCTTTTTCCCCTGCTTTTCTTTGGAAAGAAGCAGAACTGTCTTCCGTGTTGACTTCAGCCTGATGTCTAACATCAGGATAGCAGTATTTCCCTGAAACGCAGCAAGAGGATGGAGCTTTTGAAGTGCTTTGATCTTCAAGGAGAGGTGGCTGGACTGGCCCATATATTATGTAATTAGTTTAGATCATGATGCTGACAAGGCCCTGAAAGGCTCGTTTTTCTCTTTCCAAGGCCATGTTTCCGAATGCGGCCCTCCATCTTGAGACTGTGCTGTGGCCAGCCTGGGTGAGAGCAGGTGGCACGCGCACCTTTTCCACCACCCCTTGTGAAGCAGAAGGTCAATCAAATGTTTGAACCTACTAAACTGGTCCATATCTTTTTCTTTTTTCTATCAGATAACATTTAAAAATATACTAAAGTGGCACAAAAGTAATTAGACTTTATTAAACAGCTTATAAATTAGATATGGCCTCTGCCCTGTATCTGTAAACCCGTTGTCTGTTTTTTCCACACAGGCACTTGGTACAATAGCTATTCAGTTAGCACACCACAGAGGAGCCAGAGTGATTTCAACAGCATGCAGCCTCGAAGACAAGCAGTACCTTGAAAGACTTCGGCCTTCTCTAGGTGGGTACTACTCCTCAACACAGGCTGTAACAGAAAATTTTGAAGGGGTAGCGCCTTAAAAACTGCACTTGTAAAACAAAGTGCAAAGTCCCAAATGAAAGTCACTTTTAAAATGTACTTAGTATTTGTGCTAAGTCCAAGTTTGTGATAGTTTTAATTTTTTAATCGTTGTTTAAACCTACATTTTTCAGTTTTTTTTCTTCTTTGCCCCATTGTTATCAACGTACCCATATGCATTAGGTGAACTTTGACACAGTTTAAAAATACCTGATAGCGCTTTGGTTTTCCTCAATAAATCCATATATTTTGCCTCACTTCTATGTTTCTCGACCTCTTTTGCCCAGTGGTGCACCTCTAAAGTTGTCGTTTTCTGTGATGCACCAGGAAGGGAGATGATGCACTTACACAGAAACACAGGTCAGACACGGTTTATGGTGAACAGGACATGGTGCGACTGGGGAGCTCTTGAATGGATTGAACCTATCTGAATGACAGTAAATAATGAAAGGAGGAAGAAAGTAGAGGCTGCCAAAAAGAAAAAAGGAGAGGAGAAAGACAGGAATGGAAAAACTAACAGAGAGAAAAGAGGCTGAGCGGAGTATAAGTGACGGGCAGGTAGGAAGGGAAGGCAGGCTCACTGAGTGTCAGTAGGAATGACGTCTCCTTGAGTCCTCCGCAAGCCTGTGTTGGCCAAGCAGGAAACAGCATCTAGAGAATTTAACTAGCTTGTCCGAGCATACACAACTAGAAGAAGGACTGGAATGGGCTTTGAACCCAGGCCTGTCTATCGTTAAAGCCGTGTTATTTCCATTGTTACCTTATGGTTCTGGCAGAGAGAACCAATAAATGGAAGGAAGGTTAAGGCAGGAGCTGGAGAAGGGAGGAAAATAGGGGAGAAAAGGAGAAAGGAGAGATTGAAGATGGAATAGAGACATTAGCCTGCCCTTCCTAGTGCCTCAGTGCCCTTTCCCTTGTGCCCTCCCCGCCCCCACCTCCGTCCTCCGAGTCTTGGGGGTCATACTGGACTACACCTTGAATCTTCAGCAGCTCTGGGAGGAATCCTCTTTAACAAGAAGTTGCTAAAAGATAGAAAAATAAAATTTAAACATGTCTTCATTTGCAGCTCAAATTCTGAAATTTTTTTTTATTCTCTCTGTGGTTTGTTCTATCAATATAATACTTTATAGCAACCAGTTAAAATTGGTTTAATTCTTACAAACTCTGCTGAAAACATTTTTTTTTCCTTCGGGATTTTTCTTCATTTGGGGGAGTAAGTGGGGGGGAGGGTAGAGGGGATTTCTGTGACTGAGAAAGGATAAAACAGCCTCTAATAGAGAAGTACCATATCATACAAATAGATTTTTGTACTTTTTAGCTCTGAAGTCTGTTAAGTCTGAAAATACTTAAGAAGTTGCTTAATCTTTCAGTCCCTGTCTCAATAAGAGTGTACCTCTGAGGCTTGTACATTCTCAGTTCTGGCGATATATCCTTTAGCTATGGAGAACAGTCCTGTCAACAGACCAGCTTTGGAACACATTAACCACAAAATCCTCATATTTTTATTTTATTGAATATAGCAGTCTCTTCATTTAAATTGATCCTTACCAATATTGGGTTAGATGAGAAACAGTATAACTTGGATTCAGTAATTGTTTGAACCACTTAAGTTATTTCAGAGAACAGATATTTATTTGCTTTGCTTTTTCTTTTTCTCTAATTTGTGTTGATCACATAGAGAACAGTACAGTTGCCTGACTTCCTGTCCTTTACAGCCCGAGTGATCGATCTATCTAATGGGAAAGCCCATGTTGCTGAAAGCTGCTTAGAAGAAACAGGTGGCCTGGGAGTAGATATTGTCCTAGATGCTGGAGGTGGGCACTTTACTAAATCAGTAGTCTCTGTCATTTCAGTGATGAGTGAATTTCAGGAAAAAAATAGCCAGGGAGTAATTATTAACATATTTATTGATGTTTAGGTTTGTTTTTGTTTTTTAACTTTTTTATTTAAATTGGAGCTTCATTTTATTCCCACTATAAACACTGTCTGGAAGAGAGAACATGCTTATCTTTTAAAGTATAAGTGTTGGGGGTTGGCCCAGTGGCATAGGGGTTAAGTTTGTGCACTTCACATGAGTGGCCTGGGGTTCTCGGGTTCAGATCCTGGGCATGGACCTGCACACCACTCATCAAGCCATGCTGTGGCAGCATCCCACATACAAAAATAGAGGAAGATTGGCACAGATGTTAGCTCAGCAACAATCTTCCTTGAGCAAAAAGAAAAAGCTTTCAGTGGAATGAATGTATACGTCATTAGTTTTTAAAATGGATGTTTCAACAATTACATCAAAATATCACTGTCTTGAGTCAGAATTCCTTAATCAGAAGTCAACTTTTCCCCAAATACTAAGCTATCAATGTTAGGATTAAAACTATCAGACTTAGTTATGTGTTATGTTACCTTGCCTGGTTTTCAAACGAAAATACACTTTTTATCTTTAGTTATTTGATGTATAATTAAATCTAAAGTAAATTTTATGAACAGTTTTAATGCAAAAAGTACATTTTAAAGTATCTGATTAAATTGTGCATTACCTTTTACTAAGAAAAATGCTTCCTCATTTCTACATTAAAAAGTAAAGAGAATAAATAAAATTTTTGTCAGATTATTATAAAATATATTTCTTCTCTCTCTTTCTTTTTAAACTATTCCCTTGTAAGTGAGATTATACAGCAAAGATGATGAACCAGCTGTAAAATTACAGCCACTGCCACATAAACATGATATCATCACACTCCTTGGTGTTGGAGGCCATTGGGTAACAACAGAAGAAAACCTGCAGGTACAGCATCACTTCTGCACCAAAAGGATGTCAGTAACAAAGAAGAATGCCTGTCTTTTGAGGCAAGATGTGGCTAAATTAGTATAAGTACTAAATTATACCCTACCTTTAAATAAATGTAGCTTTTTTCCTTTTTTTTTTTTACTTCAGCTACATGTCGGCTAAAATGTGGAAATAGTACCTAGTAGAAGAGTTCATTCAACTTTTCTTTAGTGGTTTGGAAGTAGTGACTTCTCAATATTTTAAAAGTATTTCAAATAAGATTTTTTTCTTAGGAACAAACATTACTGTTGACATATACTTAGCAAAATATTTCTGTATAAAGTTATGACAATTTCCCAATTATTCAAATTGGAATTTACTGTATCTGTGCATATATAGATTGTCTCCCAAGTTACATTTCCCAACAGAATTGAAATTAAATATTTTTGTCATGGTTGTTATGCAAATACCATAATTCTCATATACCAATCTTCATTGATTTTCCGACATCCTCCTGAAGGGGACCGGTAAGTAGCAGCCAGAAATCCCCCCCCCCCCCCCCCCACCCAAACACACACACACACACACACACACACACACACACACTACATCACATCTAGGTTGGCCTTGCATCTGACCTTACTGTTTCGTTTTGGATAATGACTTAGAAAAGAAGTATAGTTTACATATTGTTATTAAAGTTTGGCGATTATTTGCGATTTGGGTATTATATAGTTTGTGTAAAAGTTTTTCTGGCTCAAGATCCCAATCATCTTTCTGCTGTTAACCTCACAGTAACTGATCAGTCTTTGTGCATTCTATCCAAGTTGGATCCTCCAGATAGCCATTGCCTTTTCCTCAAGGGAGCAACGGTGGCTTTCCTTAACGATGAAGTTTGGAATTTGTCAAACGTACAACAGGGAAAATATCTTTATATCCTTTTTTTCTGCTGACTTGAGTTTCTTGCTTGAAATTTACCTTGTCATCATTAAGTTCTTTAATCATGATGATGATAAGTAATAATAATAGCTAACTTTCCTTGAGCATGCCAAACAATGTTCCAGGTGCTTTGTAGGTATTAATTTATTTAAACATTAAAGCAGCCCTGTGAGGTGTGAGTACTGATATCATCCCTATTTCACAGGTGAAGAAACTGAGGCACAGAAGGGTTAGTACATGCCCAGGGACACAGCTGGCAAGTGGCAGGACAAGAATCCTACCTAAGTAGTCGCACTGATTTCTTAATGGGAAGTAAATCATAAGATGGAAGATTTTGTTTCATTTTTAACCTGCCCTTATGGAAATTATATGTCACCTTAAGAGGGTGCATCCTTACTCCTATGATGGTGCCATTGTGCCACACATTTCAGAATACTTATCTAAATTAAAGAGTTTGTGGGGTGTATTTAAGGATATCAATGCTAAGAAAGCTTTATCAAACAAAGATGGGTTTGATTTTTTAAAATGGAAGTCATTAGGAGACGAATCTGGTGACTGAAGCAGAATCATTCCAGTTTTGGTAAAAGTAATGAAAAGTTTTCTTGAGAATATAAAAGCAGTTGTAAAAGAAAGGTCCCAAACCTGTTTAGAGCAGGGTCAACTGAAGAATAAACCTTTTATTTCTAGGATGATTGTTTTAAAGGCAGCAGCACTTGGTAAAATTGTTAATATATTGGATAAAAAGTAAGTTCTCGTTGCTTAATAGAGTATACTTATGCATGAAGAAAGAGACTGTCATAGCCTCACATTTGTCTCCAGTGCATAGCATACTTTAAGCTTGTTAAATGTGTGTAGTTATATATGTGTGATATGTGTAAAGGCCAGCCTCCTCTAGGAACAAGGACAGACTTAAGTTGGAGCTTTCAAATAGTAGTATTTAATTAGTATACTGCATATGTTCAGTTTTAAAGAGTACATTTCAAAACCAGAACATCCCCTTAATGTAGTGAATGTATGAGTTTAAAGTATTTGATTAAATATTTTCTTATTAAGTTTAGAAAATAGCCTTAGTTTTTAACTTTCTGAAAGAATTCTTTCAATTTCAATTTTAGGCAACTTAAAATGTCCAGTAACACTGTAATTTTCAAGAAGACCAAGGAGTGTTAGTAATAGAGAACACCATGTATTAAAAGTAACATTAGTTAGCATGTTTTGAATCTTACATGTCAGAAGCTAGGCTGGCTGCTTTGCCTATGTTACTTACCTTAATTTTCTCAACCAGCCCCCCACCCTTATCCCATGAGTACGTGATTTTAACCTATTTGACAAATCCATAGACCACATTGAAACATGACACATTTATATGAAATGATGTTAAATTTTCAAAAATCAGAAATACATGTTTTTTATGGATACACTTAGATATACTCTTGGCAATTTAATTACAAGGAGAGAGGCCGGCCCCGTGGCCAAGTGGTTAAGCTCACGCGCTGTGCTTCGGCGGCTCAGGGTTTTCCCAGTTTGGATCCTGGGCAAGGACGTAGCGCCACTCATCAAGCCATGCTGGGGCGGCGTCCCACATGCCACAACTAGAAGGACCTACAACTAACAATATGCAACTATGTACCAGGGGGCTTTGGGGAGAAAAAGGAAAAATAAAATCTTTAAAAAAAAAAAAGTAGAGAATTTGCATAGTTGGAGTGAATCAGTATTCCTTAAGTTCTTTTTTAAAAATCCTTAAAATGGCTTATGGTCATCTTTTCTAACTTACAGTTTCTAAAGTCCTGAATCAAACTTTAGTCCTCACTTATGCAGACCCCCCTCAGGCGGTTCACACTTGTGCCGGTTGCTGCGTGTGATTTCACATGGAGATCTCCTTCCGATGGTGTGATTATATGCCATAAATCATTCTCCGCTGCTTGCAGTTACATAGACTCTCCGTCCTAACGTTATAATTTCAGTTAAATGACTAGATTTTTTCCTAATTTCACACTGTCTTTTGGTTCTCTTAGTGACATATGTCACACACACAGTTTATTAACTCCCCTGCACACAAATTTGAGCCTATCCTGAGCCAGGTTCGTAAATAAATGTGCCCCTAAAGTAATGCTAAAATTGTTTATAACTAACAGTACCATACATAGTGCTGACGTGGAAACCTGACACCATTGCATTACCATCCATTTGGGATGACACTGGTCATTAGGTAGACAGGCATCAGGCTTGTTTCCTTCATCACTTGTCTTTAGAAGTGTAGGCTCTATATGGCACCACCTCTGAAATCAGATCCCCATTTCCCTGTTTTAGAGGTAAACTTGAGAGCTTACAGAGGTTTTGTAACTTAAATTTTGAATTTCTGAGAGTGCTAAACTTAAAAAAAAAAAAAGTGACCTGCCTAGCATCTTCTGCTTATTGAATGGTTTTATTTCATCCTCTCTCCTTGACGTTCCCACCTTAACCATCTTTCCAGCTACGTATCTTAAAAGATGTGATGGAGAAGTTATCAGCTGGTGTTTTTAGGTATGCTAAGTAAATCATTGTTCTTGTTTGTATTTCTGTTCTCAAAGCAATAAGGCAGGCATTTCCATGTTTATTTCAGCTTTCACAGTACACCTGTTGCCTCCATAGTTTATTCTTTTGTTTAGATAAATAGCTGCTCTTTAATGTTTCTCAAATTGTATTTTTGTGGTGCACCAGTAAGTACACCCAAAGGTACAAGTGGCTTGTGAGGTTGCCTTACTCCACCCCTTACTGTACCTCACGCCTCCTAAAGCAACTCGAAATAACCTGTAGCTTGAGAAGAGGGAAAAGTATAATTTTTTTTAAGTGGGATCTTTTTATCAAAAGGGGGGGGTGGATGAAGTAGGCATTTTTTCCCCTTCAAAATTTAACCACTTCTAACAGTGGAAATATTAATGGACAAGTTTGTTTAAATTATTTAAAGTAGTAGAATTGAGCTCTAGCAATTGTCAGCTACTGTCCTATATGTTCTACTCATCTTTATGTTGACCTGACATTTCTAATAATTTATTCTTCCTCAGGCCTCAGTTGGATGAACCCATTCCACTATATGAGGCAAAAGTTTCCATGGAAGTTGTTCAGAAAAACCAAGGAAGAAAAAAGCAAGTTGTTCAATTTTAATTTTATTTCTCTGACCTCAGTTGGATGAACCCATTCCAGTATTTGAAGCTGGAGTTTCCTCGGAAATTGTACAGAAAAGTCAAGGAAGATAAAAGCAAGTTCCATTTTTAAACATGTTTTCCTGCTGAAACAAGATGCTCAGAGTTATTTGAAGTATTTGAAAAATTATTGTACGAACGGGTCAAGACAATTCTGTAATTAACATCTAAAGGGAATGTTCTGAGCGCCTTTTTAGTTATTGTTTCTATACATTTGGCTCTGTTACAACATTGTTTCCATGAAGAAACTGCTTTCAGCAAAAGCCACGCTACTCTTGATAAAGCTGTCTTTTGCTATCTGAAAATAACGTTATTACTTTTGTATCAACTCCATTCTCAACACCCCTTAACAAGTCTTTGCTGTCGTAATTTAATCATTTGAGTATATTTTCACTTCTCTATGGATCTAGCCCATAGACACACAGCGTTTTCAAGTATTCATTCACTCCAGGGTTTCCCGCGGATCAACCAGGAGCATCCCAGTAACGCCCTTTGGGCCGCGCTGCTTGCACGGAGGGCTGCAATGGCGAAGCCCGGCAGGGGGGCGGGGGCTGCGCTTGCATAACCGCGTGCTGAATCCCTGCCAGGGTTCTCTATTGGGGGAAGGGGGAGGAGGCCCAGGCCCCTCTCCTCCCCTGTGGACATCGCCACTGCCGTCTGGCCACTGATGGAAGCAGCAGCTCGCCTGTGACATTTCTTTTCCATCTAGGCCGCACGCCCGCGCTCATCGCACCCCTGATGCGGTTTTAAATACCGGTCAGCTATTTCCGTACTCAAGAGGGGACTGCACACCGGTGCCCTTGACCGCGTGCTTCCCAGCAACTTAGCACCCGGCGACCTGACCACGGCCAAGGACCCGGCCGGAGAGCCAGGGCGGCGCCTCCCGCACTCGGGCCAGCTGGCGGCGGCGGCGGCGGCCCTGCAGCAGCGCAGCCGGGGCGGGGCCTCGAGAGCGGCCTGCGGCGCACGCGCCCCGCGCGCCTGGGGGCGGGGCCGGCGCGCGCGGGAAGCGCTTGCGGGCGGCCGCTCGGCCCGTGAGCCCGCGCCGCGCGTCATGGCCCTCTCGGTGCCCGGCTACTCGCCCAGTTTCAAAAGGCCGCCCGAGACGTTGCGGCTCCGGCGGAAAAGGGCCCGGAGCCGTGGGGCCCCTTCGCGGCCCGAGCCGGCGCCCCGCCGCGCCGCCCTGGAGGCCGGGTTGCCCCTCCGTCCCTTCCCGGCGGCGGCGGGCAGAGGCGGCGGCCCGGCCGCGGCCCCCAGGAACCCCTTCGCCCGCCTGGACAACCGGCCGCGGGCCGCCGCCGAGCCCCCCGGGGAACCGGCCCGCGGCCAGCAGGAGGCGCCGGGCCCGGTGAGTGTCTCGGCGCTCGGCAGCCGCGGGCTCGGGGCTCCGGCCGCGGAGAGAGCTGGCGCTGGGCGCGGCCCTCTTGGGGAGAGGCCGGCCAAGACCGCCGGACGCCCTGGCACCCCTCCTGGAGGGCGGCTGCCGGCGGAAGCAGGAGCCCCTTTCCGTGGCGTTCAGGGCCCCCGCTCCCGCGCGCAGAATCACTGGGAGCGAGGAGCGGGGAGCACTCCGGGGTCGGGGTCTGCCAGCGTGTCTCACCCAGGGCCCCTCGATCCTCCGATGGGGGACCCACACGTCAGTCGCTAGACGCGCAGCCCCTGGCCTCCCCGCGGCTGCGGCGGCAGCTCCGACGGCCCGCGCGGGGAGCAAGCGTATGCACACTCCAGGGCGCGCCGATGACAAAGGACCGTGCTTTTAACCCCAGCTTTTAGGTGCTAATCAAGAGAATGACTTGCCGTGGGAAGAGAAGTTTCCTGAAGGAACAGCCGCTCCTGAATCGCTGCAGGTAGTACTGGCGAGTGTCCTGAGCGCGCGCGCCCTGCGGCGGGAGTGCGCGCTTCCCCGAAGCGGGTTGCTCCGAAAGGGGTTTCGCAGAGAGCCCCAGGCCTCGGACGGCGCGGGGATGCTCACAACGGCGCCAACGCCAGCGTGAGCGAGCGTGCGGGGCCCCCTCGGCCTCCGGCGGGCGACGCTGCCCCCTGCGGGGAGTGCGACCCCAGCTCTGCGCGCGGCGCCAGCCCCGCAGGCTCGGCCGAGCTCCTCGCCCAGTCTTCCACCGGGTCCTCGCACCCCCTTCCCGGCGCCGCTGCCCGCCGAGCCCGCCGGTGCCACCCGCTCCGCTCCGCGCCCCGGGGACTCGTGTCTGCTGGGTGAAGGAGGGCCGCAGTGTCCTAAGGGAGCAGGCGGGAAGCGCCCGCAGACCCCCGGCCTTCCAGAAGTGCCCTTCCTGGGGGCTGTGGAAAGTACTTCCCCCTCCCCAGAGACACAACCGCTGTTGACGCTTCAGCACAGCCCCTTCCAGCCTTTTGCACACTGTGTAGTTTATTTTCAATGTTGTTTATTAGACAGTTCATAAAATTTTGACCTTTTAGTTATGGGTAATGTTACTTAGATTTGAAAGTCTTTTTTCCTTGTTACTCTACTAATTTTTGTGTCCTTTGTTTTCTAAAAGACTCCACACGTATCATCCTCCGAGTCTGATATCCTGTCCTCAGGAAGTACTGAGTTACCTGTGGACTGGAGCATTAAAACTCGCCTCCTTTTCACCTCTTCTCAGCCCTTTACCTGGGCGGATCACTTGAAGGCCCAGGAAGAGGCTCAGGGTGTCGTCCAGCATTGCAGAGCGACAGAAGTTACTTTGCCTCCAAGTATACAGGTAATTCTGAAGGAAACTAGCTACGTCTTAAAGTAACAAACTAAGTGTAAAATGTACTGCTCTGCAAAGTATCAGAGATATTTCTTTTCACTAATTGTTCAACTAAACCATTCTTTTCTAAGGCCTTTTGAAAAAGATAATACAAGGAAAAGAAATGAAAAGCAATCGAGTAGGATTGCAAAGGCAGATTGGTTATTTTACTGATTTTCTCACATTTAATGTATACTCTACCTTTTTTTTTTAATTGTGGTCTTAATAGCTTGTACCGTAGTGAAATTTCGGTTGTACCTTATTATTTGTCAAACACCATGTAAATGTGCCCCTTCACCCCTTGTGCCCACCCGCCACCCCTCTTCCCCCGGGAACCACTAATTTGTTCTCTTTGTCCTAGTTTGTTTATCCTCCACAGATGATGAAATCATATGGTGTGTGTCTTTCTCTGTCTAGCTTATTTCGCTTAACACGATGCCCTCAAGGCCCATCCATGTAGTTGTGAATGGGACGATTTCATCTTTTTTTAATGGCTGAGTAGTATGTTTGCACCACATCTTTATCCACTCATCAGTCAATGGGCACTTGGGTTGCTTCTACGTCTTGGCTATTGTGAATAATGCTGCCATGAACATAGGGGTGTATGAGTCTCTTTGAATGGTTGATTTCAAGTTCTTTGGGTAAAGACACAGTAGTGGGATGGCTGGCTCATAGGGTATTTCTATTTTTAATTTTTTTTTAAATTATATTCCACTTTTTTTTATAGTAAACTTTATTTTCATTGATATTTCATTTAACGTTATTTCAGAGTAGGGCTGTGCTCTAAGATGAGCAAAAGAACAGATATGCTAAATCTCATCAGATTTTTTTACACTGTCCCTTTGAGTAGGGTATGGATTTTCAGGACCCCCAACATTGATACCTAACTTTTTACCCCTTGTGATTTTACCTACAGACACAGAAAGAAGAGATAACATCAACCAACAAGAATCAAACTGTGTGAGGGTATTAGAATAATAAGCTCTTGTGTTATACATTACACACCTCTTTAGGATTGTAATGATAATGATTTTTTTTCCCTGCAAAGTTCAGTGCCTTCTTTTTTTTAAGTAAGACATGATAATACATGAAAATCCTGCACTTACTTCTCTTAATACACTAGGAATAGTGGACGTTTTAAAATTCTTTGAGTCCAAGCTGGGACATGAGTATGATTGATGGGGTCTACTGAACACACTAATTCCAAGTTTGACAGCCGTCAGCAAACTGGCACCCGCGATTCTCATTCCCATAATGCCAGCCAAGGTTCCAGATGTAGCTAGGAAACCCCAGATGTTCCTCTGATCCTGAGACAGCTGATAAGCACCCAGGCCTGCTAACCCACCGAAGAGGAGCCCAGCGGCCAGGGATGGGACACTACCTGCTTTTGCATAGCCAGTGATCCCACCAGAAGCAACCAGTGCTGCATAGCCAAAGCCAATCCAGTGTAAAGGCACTAGCGGGCTGGAGTCCTTCTGCATTGTTCTCTTTCACCCTGTGCAAACAGAAGACTACACTAGGCCTGCACCGAACCGCTTTCCAGAAGGTCTCCGCAGGTCGACCGGGGTGTGCCAGCAGCAGGGCCTATACTCTACTTTTTTAAATGCACTAATTCTTGCTACCTAGGTGATGGTTAGTTGTAAATTTAGTAGAGTTAATGAGTTAGAATGGTTTTAGAGAAGTGTAATTGCGTTACTTTCAGGTTTAGCCCATCAGCTCAAACTAGGCTAAAAGGAATTAGGTAGAGGCCGTAGCACATCTCTTTCTTCAGTAGATCAGGATGATTTGTGATCCACATTATCAATTTTTACTGGCTACTTTTGAAACAGTGTCGTCAGGGGAGCGGAGTTGAACATAGCGTTACCTACACACACACCCCCCAGAAAAATATGGTCATTGTTCTTCAGGATGGTAGAGACAGGAGAATGTTCCCATCTGTGTTTAAGTGTGTATTCTGATGTTTGGTTTAACAGACTGCCATTGCTGACAAGAAAGGTTTTTTCAAACAAAAAACCCATTTTAGCCCATCTTAACAGTTAACACTTTCCTGTAGGAAGCAGTGAAGATTGTGAGAATAAGTTTGGTATATTCAGTGTCTTTTTAATGAAATTTTGTACTTCTAATGGGGCAGAAACTGTCCACTATCATCTCTGGATTTTAGGATCCCAAACTCTGCACTGAGCTCCGCCGTGCCTTCCAGCAGAGCCTTGTCTATTGGCTCCACCCTGCCTTTCCGTGGCTGCCGCTCTTCCCTCGTATCGGAGCAGACAGAAAAATGGCTGGAAAGGCAAGCCCTTGGTCAGCTGATGAAGCCCTGCAAGACATTTTAATGAGTGACTGGTAAGATTGGTAAAAATCTGTGCAATCGAGTGAATTTTCATTTTAGCAGTATTCTCTTTTTTTATTATTTATAAGATGTGGAAATGTACAGCGAGAGAAGGATTTCTCTGTCCTTCTGAATTATTTTACCTAAACTCTTAATAAGTAGCATTTAAATTGTTTACTTTTTAAGCTGTTGTTCGCTCTTCATGCGGTCGTGGAATGTGTTTAAGCATTTGATAAGTATATATAGACAGAATTCTTTAATGTTACTCCTTGTCAATGGCTGCTTCCTGTCTCATCAGCAGAAGCTGCTCAGAGAAAGCAACCAATTATCAATTAAATTTTGTTTAAAGAAAAAATGGTTAGTGTTTAAGTGGTAAACACTACTTGTTAAAGTATTTAGAAGTCATCAAGTCCCATGACCAATTTTAGCCTTTAAAGCCAAGCTGTATGAAACGGCAAAAATTCAAACCATTATCTCTAGTGTTTGTGTTGTGTTTTAAATCAGGCGAGTATCAAACTGAATTATACAAAATTAAATTTTAGATTTTGAATTAAATGTTTAATAATACCTAAATAAAATAAAATTTTTTTGCTTCCTAGGTCTGTGAGCTTCACTTCTCTATATAATCTGCTGAAGACAAAACTTTGCCCCTATTTTTATGTTTGTACCTATCAGTTTACTATCCTGTTCCGTGCAGCAGGATTAGCAGGAAATGATGTAATCACAGCTCTCATATCTCCTACAACTAGAGGTTTAAGAGAAGCTATGAAAAATGAAGGTAAGGGGCCAGCCTGGTAGCGTAGTGGTTAAGTTTGTGGTGCTCCACTTGGGCAGCCCGGGCTGGCAGGTTCAGATCCCGGCACAGACCTATCACTCATCAAGCCGTGCTCCGGTGGTGACCCATATACAAAAAATAGAAGAAGATGGGCATAGATGTTAGCTCAGAGCCAATCTTCCTCACACACACACACACACACACACACAAAAAGGAGGTAAACCTTAGGTTAAAAATGAGAATACCACACTAGATAATAGACACTTTACTTAAAAGCTAAAATTTGAATTCTTTTAACAGTTGAATTGTCTTCTACGAGTTTTACCTATATTATTTTAAGAAATGTTTATTTCTTCACTTCTGATTTTTTCCAGCAGTCATTTAAACTGCCCCTTATACATAGCTTTAAGTTAATAGTGTTCCCTTCTCTGATCTCTAAACACGTGTTGGCCTGGAAAGTCCAAATCTGAATATACTCCGCTAGAAATTTCTTGAGAGTGCAAATTACTTATCCCCTTTAAATAACATAATTTTCTTTTTTTTTATTGTGGTAACATTGGTTTATAACATTATATAAATTACAGGTGTTCATCATTATATATTTCGACTTCTGTGTAGATTACATCATGTTCACCACCCAAAGACTAATTACAATCCGTCACCACACACATGTGCCTAATCACCCCTTTTGGCCTCCTCCCTCCCAACAGTAATTTTCAAACTGGGTCAACTCATTAGTGGATCATGAAATCTATTTAGTGGGCTCAGTCAGCACTTTTTAAAAAAATGAAATCGAGTAGAATATACTTTATGAAAGAGTACCACATGTAGTAAGTGTATGTATTGCTTCCTGAACTTTTTGTTTCAAGGAGGGTGTGTGTGTGTGTATATTGTGGGTTGTTGTCAGGAAAGCTTGAAAACTACTGCCTCAATAGATCAAGTGTGAAAATTCACATTTTCAAATTTCATACTCTCTGACACTGGGCACTCCTTTTAAATTCTTTTAGATTACATTAGAGAAAACTCAGTTACCTTTTTCTTTCCTCATGTAGGTATTGAATTTTCTCTGCCTTTAATAAAAGAAAATGGCCAGGAGAAGAAAGCATCCAGAACAAGCTTGGGACATGAGGAGTATGTGATTAAAGTAACCTTTTACATCATCCTGTGACTTAACTCAGTGAAACAGTTTTGTAGAGAAAACAGCTTTATGAAGTGGGGACTCTAACTATGGCCATTTCCTAGGGAGCAAGCAATGAGTGATGAGGATGAAGAAGAAAGTTTCTCTTGGCTGGAAGAGATGGGTGTGCAAGATAAAATTAAAAAACCAGATATACTCTCCATCAGGCTGTATCCTTTCAGTTCTTATTAACTAGAATTGATTTTCATTGAATTAAGTTAACGAGCAATGTAATACTGTCTGGTAATTTTATTTGACTATAATCTTAAATGATCTTAAGATCATATTAAAACTAATTCTCCATTTTGACATTAAATAACAAACTCCTAAGTACCAATAAACTGTCAACAGTTATTATTAAACTGTTTTTTTTAAAGTGAAGTCATTCCATTTTGGTTAAGTTTATGGGCCGAACGGAACATATTTTTGACTAGAGAAGAAATCAGTTTTTTTAGGTGTCAATTTACAGCAAATTCAGATGGTCAAAGAGAAATCATTTTGATTCAAACAGATGCCTTATAATTGTAGTGAAGAGGGGTGGTAAGAACATTTCCAGTTTGGAATGGGGATAAAATGGTCCCATGTGATTCAGAATCAAGATACCTGCTTTTCCCAATGGTTGGGATTTGCTTTTGCAGTTTCCTTGATTGTCATCTTCAGGCGTAAAGAGAAACATGAAGTACAAATGGACCACAGACCTGAGTCTGTTGTGCTGGTGAAGGGAATGAATACCTTTACGTTGCTAAATTTTCTGATTAACTGTAAGAGTTTAATTGCTACCTCAGGTCCACAGGCAGGACTTCCACCGACCCTCTTATCCCCCATAGCTTTCCGAGGTGCCACAATGCAAATGCTTAAGGTAAGAAAAAGAAAAAAGAAATTCTACACTGTTTCTCATAACCAAGCTTTAAGTACTTTTCCTCTTTGGATAGGGTAAATTCCTGATTTGTTTTTAATAACTCCTAGCATTTTTACATGGAGCGTATTTTGTTTTTGCTTTCCTCCCAGTAAAAAAGTTCTTATATAAAGTTCTATCAAAGGAATTAAATGACAGTATATGAATTATATGAAATGTTTGAATTATATGAAAAAAATTTATTAAATTGGCAACAGAATCATTTTGATGTTAATTTCCCTTTTCGCCATAGGAAAAGTTGCTTAATCTCATTTTGTCTCATTTCTTAACCAATGAAAGAACATAGCCAAGAATATTGTTAAATTATAGGAGATCTCAAAAAGTGGATCATGGATAAGTCAAAAAAATAACTGTATATCCACATTGTTGGAAAAAATCCTATGTGTAAATACAAAATATATACTGCATGTTAATAGCAGTAGAATTTTGTTTTCCCAGTATCCTGCGTTGAAAGTGTATTACTAAATCATAAAAGGATACCAATACCATATGAGAAAACTATAATAGCTTTAAACTGATAATCTCATAATTTGGAGGAGAGGATGCTGGAGACTATTTATTAAACATTTCTACTCATATAACATTCTTTTGACGTCTTATGAACTACCTTTGTTCCGTAACTATTAAAGGGAGGAAAATCTAAATGAAAAGCTAGTGAACACATTTTTTGTTAGGGACAAAAGCTCAAGAAATGGTGACCATAAATTTCTTTAAATCTTTTCAAAGGCACGAAGTGTAAATGTGAAGACACAAGCTCTTTCCGGATACAAAGATCAATTTAGTTTGGAGATTACAGGTCCTGTCATGCCTCATTCTCTACATTCTGTGACCATGCTACTCAAATCTTCACAGAGTGGGTCGTTTTCTGCAGGACTGTATACACATGAGCCAACTGCTGTATTTAATATCTGCCCACCAGTGACAGAAGTACAAGATAAGGTAAGTATACAGCTATAAATTGATTATTTGTAGCTAGTTTCCTCAAACTAGATGGAGAAAATAAGTGATTTGTGATGAGCCAAACTCATGTTTCAAGTTATTAAATGGTACTACTTAATTTTATCAATTATAATTACTAGAGGAAGGGATATGTCTGTATGTTGTTTTTGTAAGGTAAATTTTATGAATTCAGGCTATTGTACTCAACAGTGACTAAAGAACTTCCCAAACAAAAAGGCGTTATTTTCATTGTCCTCTCAGAACCAGAAATTAAGTGTCTGATTCATTTATTATATAGTTGTTTACTTAACCATCTTTGCCTTTAATTTTGGACATATTTTTTTATTTAGAGGTTATGACCTTTAAAATTGCCTCTCATACTTTTATCAGTTTGTTAGACTTAGAAAAATAACCCAAATTAATATTTTTGGATGCTGTCACTATGCAAAAATTCTTAGGGTCAACTTCTATCAATGATGATGACTTGCCCCTACCTTATAAACATGAACACAGCATTTATTTGTGAAAGTTCCCATAGTAGTTATTAAAAACTCAGTGTTCAAAGACTGATGGGCTTTTTACTGACTCACATACAAATTTCCACAGGAGACCGTTCATGAGGAGCTTGCTAACTGTGGGTTGCACCCTAAGACTCTGGACCAACTTAGTCAAACACCAGTGCTGGGGAAATCATCTTTACGGCATGTGAAAATGAGTGACTACATTTATAATTGGAGATCCTGAACACCAAAGTAAGCCTAAAAGGAGTCTATGAGGAAAAAAAAGCCTTCTAGCAAGGAAATTCAAGATTCTTATACCTTTGGCTTTAAAGTTCATTTTGGAAGTTGAAAAAGAAAGGAAATTTAAAACATTCAAATGTTTATAAACATTAATCTTGTTACATTTAACTTTTACTACATGCGCTAAGCAGAATTGAGGTTTCAAATCAACATTTTTTTACTATTTTGATTATATTCAGGTGTGAAAATAAGTGAAACGTTTAAAAACACCTCAACTTGATTGAGAATTCTAGCTCCCTACAACCTAATTATAAACTGAGTAGAAAACAATGTGTTTCCTTGCAAATGGGAAATTGAGGCTAAGTTAGTATCAACTATCTCACAGCATTGTGACTAATGGCATCCGGGCACAGTTAAACAATTTACCTAGGATTATTGGCAGGTTCTCGTTTCATAAAGGTAGAAAACAAATGTAGATAATATCTACTGAGCTGATTGTTGATGCTCCCAGCTTAGTAGTTCTCCTACTGATTTACAATTCCTCTATTCTCAAATATATTGTTTTTTTACTGCATGTTAATTTAGCTAAGGGTATTTTGTATTCCGTACAGAATAGTGTTGAGTTGTAAAGTATGCTCGGCTGTCACAGCAAAGTAGTAGTTAACGTTCTTGTAGGTATTTGTGTGTGTGTGTATATATAATTCAAATTTTCTAAATAAAAGTGCTTAGAAATCAAAAGCATTGGGTAAAGAAATAATAGTATTTAGTGAAGAAGTATTTGTTCATGTTATAAAAATCCAGAAAATAAAACACCACATTTATTCCAGAGAAGTTTATATTTGGGCCTTAAGCTTTTGAAAATAAAGTTTAGAGACATAGCATATGAATACCACTGTAATACACATGAAATATTCTATCAGACCCTAAAAATTAACATAAACTTAAACTTTCTCATAGTCAACAAAATAATGGCTGGGTGCCGATTTTATTAGATAAGTTGGTTACAGCATTTTAATTATCATTTTACGTCTATCTAGGTGTAGCTGAAATTCAAAATGCACATCAAAGTAAAACTATATCACAACTCAATGCCATACTAAATGTACTTGGCTTCTGCAGTAAAATTCTAGTTGGAGTTAATTTCGACTCCCTTCTCATGGCCCAAGTGGCTTTGACGGGAACACAGAACTTAGTGCTGATCATCACACAACATACCACTTTCTTTTTATAACCTCTACAAAATTTTAAGGGAAGATGGTGGCATTAGCCCTGTGGAACAGATCTTGCTTGATTACCTCAATAACACTGGCCCAGTATCTGTCCAGCAGAACCCATTGTGAACTAGTACAAGGTGCACAGCCCTTCACTGATTACAGGCAAGTGTTACAGCAGCCTAGCCATAAGGAAGGGAAGTTATATCATAGTACAAAATACAGTATAAAAGCGTTATTTAACATTCCACACTGAAGATTACGGATGCCTTCAAACAATCGTTTGGATGTTAGCCACTTAAACAAATACATCACTAAGGTAAACAATATAAACATACCAAAACCCTGTATGGTTAAATACAATTTCCATGGTACAAAAATCAAAGCCTGGAGATGTTTTGTACAGATTGCTTTTTACACAATGTCTTAAATTGCCAGATATTTACAACATTAAAGAGGAAGTACATTTTGATGCAGAGTAAAATTATCTGAAATGATTAATATAAAACCTCAATCTATCTACGTGAGGCACTCCTGAAGCAAGTGGCATTAGCCATGAGGTCCTTTGGTACAAGGCCCATTGCTTGAAGAACCACAGTAGCTGCTGTGGCTTTAGCATGCTTCTTATTAGGGCTGGCAAAGCTGGGCTGGTAAGCGCTTCCATTTATCAATACCTATTCAAGAAAAACATACAATTGGGCTGGTAAGGGCTTCCATTTCTCAATACCTATTCAAGAAAAACATACAATAAGAACAGCATCAAACTTTAATATCTATTAGCTTTTTATTTTTTCACTAAATGCTAGAAAAATAATCTATAAAAATATAAAACCCATACTACATAAGTCAAATTAATCTCAACCCAGAAGAAAAGGGACTGCAAGTTAAGAGCAGGTCTCCAAATTGAAGAAAAAAAAAAAGGGCCTGATAAAACTACTAAATTAATTCCCCAAGTTCCAGTAGAAAATGTCAACAAATTGTTCACCAGATTTTGCCCACATCCTTCCCTCCAACATTTTTAAAAACAGTATATTACAGGTCACTTTAAGCACACGTAAATGTTTAAAACTCCCACCACTCTACCCACACAAATAAACACTCCCAACCCACAAACAGTATATTAATCCTGTGATCCTATAATGTTTATCCCTCGCCCTCTAACACTGTCATCAAATTATTAAATGTATACAATTAATGCAGAAATTCATATTTACCCTAAAGAGAAAATGTTTGCGATGATCAGGGCCACTATCATGGACCAAGAGAAATTCAGGTGGTTGCCACCTTCTCTTATTACAGATTTCCATCAAGGCAGAGACAGGATGTTTGCCTGCAGAGAAAGAAAGAACCAGTTATTAATTATTTCCACTATCTGTGGCAACAAATTATGAATTCAAGGTAGCGATGGGGAAGAGGAAATTCAAAACTGTCTCTCACCTGACAGATCTTTCATTGCAGCAGAGAAGTTCCCAGACCTCTTTTGTGCTCTTTCTCCCACTGCAACAAGACCTTAAAAAAAAGTCAAACGTTCACTGAATAAATTTCAAAGCAGCAGTTGTAAATTTTAACAGCAAAATGACGATTCCATCTGTAGTAACCTGAACCTCAACTCATGCCTTCAAATAAAACATTCAATAAATTCTCATTACCCTTGATTTCTATATCCATCTTGACTTCTCTTTTGCTGTGTTTCAATATATAAATCTATATTTTCATATACCTTAGTATTGGAAATCGTATAAAAATCAAATGTTCAGAAAACACAAGAATATGTGAATACATATATAAATTAAGTGCCCTAATTATCAACAGCTCCAGGTCTGTTTCTTTGTACGTTTAAGTAGCAGTGGCTATTTATTGCAAGTGATATCTAAAGGTCTCCCATCCCTTAAAAAATGATGTTCAATTAAGAAGTATGTTCCCCAAAAGGCAAGGATTTAGGCCACTAAGGAAATAAAAGGTAAAGTGAGAAAGGCTGTCTGTATGCATAAATGGGTCCATTTTTTCCCCAGCAAACAATCCCTTTCTGGCTTATCAAATGTGAGATGTTCTCAAAAGACAAACATAACCTCACTGCATAACCTACTTTTCCAAAGGGATCTAACTATGTTACTCTCTAAAACTCAATGCTTGCCCACTTCCATTTATCCTAGTAGGAATTCTGCAACCAGTTCTTTGCTAATTCTGCTAGTATGCTTTCCCACACCCAGGCCATGTTGCACAATTCCAAAGAAAATGTTCCCTGGAATTACACAATGCATCCACAGATATTTTGTTCCAATAAACCACCTTTTATGACACAGAATTTTTTCAACTTATATAAGCAATATAATGTCAATGTGACATAATCGGCACAATGTCCTTTTCAGATTTAAACTTTGAACCAATACTACATCATAGGATGATTCTCATGTTATTTCCAGCCTATTTTTGAATATCACTATTACAATAAACTCCCTCCAATTTGAAATAAAATGGCAACAGACTATTCTACAGGGATGACAATGTAGAAATTCTGATGCAAAACATTTTTTTAAGTACATAATTTGGTCAGAGGTAGTCAGTTTCCAAACTCATTCAGGCAGAATAATTTAACTGCATTAACTTCAACTTTCTATTTGATTACAAAGGTAAGGAAAATAAATATCCGTTTTAAATTTTCCAGTTTCTAAAAATCAGTCTTAAATAAGCTACTGAAATCACATTGAGCTGGCAGCCCCAAGTGATTCTACTTACGACATTATTCCAAGGGAGGAAATTATTTAAAAGTTACCAATTGTCTGTACAGTAAGTATATTTTTAATACTTAGCAACTAGATGCAGGCTATATAGATAGACCCTCCAGCCCTCCGCCCCAGGTATCTGAGGACAGTAGCAAAATGCAGGCAGACAGAAAAGTTCCAAGGTGCCCCGAACACAGGGCAGTATGAAGAGGTGACAGTGATGTCAGCAGCTGGTCTACTGTTCTCCAGCCCCAACCCAGAAGAACTCAATTACTGAGCTAGAAAAGAGGGGCAAGCAAAAAGGGTTTATAAGGTGAAGACAAAAGAGCATTCTAATAGGAAAGAAGACTATATGGGATACAATAGCTGAGACAGAAAAAATACATAGGAAAGGTTGCATTAGTGTCTCCACCTATATTGATATAAGCCACTGAAAATGAGCTTAATTTTCCCAAAAACAGCTATATATACACCAGAAGTGGTGCCCCCAGTTCAGGATTACTGACATCAAAAGAATATATGAAGGTAATGAAACTCTTAATGTTAAAGGATGATAATAAACGTTCCCCCAAAACACTTACCTTTTCGGTCTGTCTTAAAGTCAACTAGGATAGGTTCCTTATTTCCTTCTTTGTTTTTTCCTAATCCTTCTCCTTCTCTCCAGCCCATTTTTCTCATCAAAACGGCTCCCATTCCTCCAGTTACTGGGGCTGCTCTTAAGAACTGATCCTATCCAAAGAAAGAAAGGTAAAATGTCCCCATTTTACAGTTAGAATTTGACTACAAATTCTCAGTGTAACTTTTTAAAAAAAGAAATCTTATTTTACTTCTAGAACTGTTATTATAGCAATTAAATTTAAATACTTCTATACTTATATACATACTGTAGTGTGTATGGTCTAGTTATTTTCACATTAACATAATAGTACTTTGAAAGTCAAATAAGGCAAATAAATGGCAGTTTTAAAACAGTGGCCCCTTGTGCCCCCCTCCAAAAAAAAAAAGAGAACAATCCTGTTTTCGTCCACTATTTAGGTTCACTGGTATCTCTTCTTAGCTTGCAAAATAAAAAGAAGGCAATGTTAAAACAGTCAATAGTATTAATTGTCCCGGGTGTACCTAGTTAATGATAAAGCCCAGAAATCATTTAGAAATAGTTTGGACACTGAAGAAGCATATTGTTATCATCCAAAGTTTTCTTCCCCATTCTACCATCAAACAAGTGTAAGTATTTTACTTAGAAAATTCCTATGAAGCAAACAGATAACTCTTTAAATTAAATTTACACAATAAGAAATGGAAGACAATCATATAAAATACCCTGAAATTACACCATACTGAATTTGAATTCTTTTAAAACCTATCTTGATGTTAAAATACTTTTAAAAAACTCCTTAAATGTTTACATACCTAGGCCTCGGTAGCAGCAGTGTTGTGAATAGTAGGGCTGGCACTGACCGGGGCAAGAAGACAGCTACAAGGATTTGGCCCTGAAACAAGTTTCCATACAGAGGGGTGAAAGTTCACAGGTTATTCTGTGAACAGTCATCTCTCTTGTATCCAACCCACTGAACCATAATTTCCATCAAAGCAGCAAACCACTTAATGTCCTACGATGCACAACTATATACATTAGCATGGTCAACAGCTGATTATTTCCGCACATTAAGAAATAATGCGATGCCTCTTTTTAAAGGGCATCCATGTACATATAACAAACTACTGAATTCTACTGTTGATCTTTATGACCATTTTTTAAAAATTTGTAAGATATATCTGCAAATCATGCCTTATTTCCCATTGTTATTAAAGTTTAGATT